TAGCTTTAATTATAGTCTAGCTACTTTAAGTTAGTCTAGCACTATCTATACGTAGCTATAGTGCTAGAATAGTAGTCTATCTATAAAGATAATAATATTATTAAGGTACGCTAAGGCGAATTTATCTAAGAAGTCTCTTAGAACCTAGTTTACGTAGCGCTAGAACGTGCTTAGAGCGTTTATAAGGCTAAAGAGAGTTACTAGCTATTTATATAAGCTAAATCTTATCTAAAAAGCTATTATCTACTTCTATCTTTCTATAATTCTTATCTTATAGAAGGCAGCTATTATATTTAGCTTAGTATACTACTTAGCCTATCTAATCTAGTGCAGAGTTTTCTTAATAAGAGGTAGTAGATATTAATTCTTCTTAGTAATAGCGTTTAACACTCTATAGTTAACGTAAAATTATAATCTACTATCTAGCTTCTATATAAATAGAACTAGTAATACTATAGAAGAATTACTTACTTATATAAACTCTTTGTCTAGAAGCTTATATAGTGTCTTCTATAGTACTAATAATTTATCTCTTAATATACTATAGAGAGGCTTATACAGAATCTTTAGGTTCTTACTATTCTCTTATTCTAGCTCTAGTTAGTAGCTTATCTTAGGCTCTTATAATAGTAGAAGGTTCTCTCTCTTCTTTAGTTAGAATAGATATATATATAACTATAGATATTCTAGAAGTTACTAGTAAATTTACTCTACTATTAAGAGAGTCTTAATTTAGAGAGCTTTTTTAATATTATAAAGGCTTACTATAAATATCTATATCTTATTCTTCTCTTACTAATTTTATTATACGTATAATTAGAAAGCTATAGTAGAGATTAAAGAGAAGTCTATCTTTCTCTTCTGTAACTCTATACTGCGTATAGTAATACTATATTAGAGTAGCCTTAACGTGTGCTAGCTAGAATTAATAATTCTACTAACTTATTTTAGCTATAACTTTCTAAGAATTATGTTATAATTATACGTTATAGAAATAATATAGGCCGCAGCGTGTTATTTTAATTCTCTAACGTCTAAGTTAAACTCTATAATAGTATTAATAGAGCTCTTCTGCTTATTTACTCTATTAATCTAGATTTAGAGTTTCTTTATACGCGGTAAGCTCTTTAATTATATAAGCTTCTTAGTTATAATTCTATAAGTATAATAACTATTATTAACTATAGTAGTAGCGTGTTCTATACTATTTATTATAATATCTATTAATATAGAGAGAGTTGCTGCTAGCTATAATAGAATCTTCTAAGAAGATTGTATAGCTTAAAGAGGCTTTACTATACTTAGCTCTAGCTTACGTCTTTAAGCTAGAGCTTTTCTTTTTCTAACTTCTTAGAGTTAGTATCTACTCTTATAGAAGTAACTATAGTAACTATAGCTTCTTTCTCTTCTATATAAGTAGGTTACTTTCTAATCTTAGCCTAGCACTAAGCAACTCTATAGCCTTAGTGCCTATATCTTAAATAGTTCTCTTACTATCTTTTTTTCTAAACCTAGACCTATATTCTCTAGAATTCTCTCTTTATATAAGGCTAGAACGCTACTATAGTAGAAGTCTAATCTATTATATTATTATTACTAGGCGTAATATATAAAGAGGTTATTAGTAGCGTATAGAAACTAAGTTAGTCTATAGCTTTAAAGTTCTTCTAGGTAACACGTATTCTTTAGATAAATTTCTTATATAACTTATCTTTTGTAGGCTAAAAGCCTACTTAGTAATATAATAATCTCTTGTTAAGAGAGTTCTTAAGATAGTTAATTTTCTAGACGTTACTTGCGTTTTCTAGACCTACTTCTAGAAACTTTAGATTAAAAGCCTACACGTAGAGAATAAACTTACTCTTTCTCTATTTAGTTATATAGATCTACTATATTACTTTCTTATAGATTATAGAGTCTATAAAGAATTTATTAAGCTACTTCTAAAGCTGCGCTAAAGATAGTTAGAAATAGCCTTCTATTATACTTATAACGTATATTCTTAAAATAGTAAAGGCCTAACTCTTTATATAAGTAATAATATAGTATACCTAGACTTCTTTAGAAGAGTAGGCTTATTAGTTTATAAAGAGTTTTACCTATACGCGCGTCTTCTATTAAGTATAGTTTTTATATAAGCTTTTTTTAAATACCTCTATATTAGGTAGTCTTAGTTTCTTATATTAACGTATAGTGTCTTAGTAGAGCGAAGGTAGTATAGATGCTAACGTAGTATAAGATAATACTCTACTTAGAGTTAGCACGCTTAGGCTCTAATAAGATACTACTTAAGCTAGAGTTTATATCTATTATTATAGCGCTTTATATAATTATTATTCTACTACTATTTAGTTAAGATTTTCTCTAAGAAGACTAATTATATTAATAAGCTCTTATTATAAATATCTATATAAGTTACTCTATAGTTAAGAGAAAGTCTCTACTTCTCTTACTTTATAGGTCTTAGCTAAGTCTATTACTTTATAGCTATTATCTAGCTATATTATAGTTATATACAGAAGTATTATTTTTAATTCTAACTTTATTATATATAAGAAGAAAGAGTAAGAAATATATAATCTTTCTTCTTATATTATAGGTAGAAAGAGACCTACTAATAAGTATGTATTTATTCTATATATAGAAGAAGAAAGATAAGAAAAGAAAGGTTCTTCTTATACGTACAACTTGCCTCTTATAGGCCTTATACTTTACTACTTTAGTTAGCGCTAAGTTATACGTTATATAACTAGATTAGTCTACTTAATATAGCGTAGCCTCTTATATCTATAATATAATAATACTTTACTAAATTTTTACTCTCTTTATATAAGGCTTTTTACTTAGACCTATTACTTATATTATAAGATTTTTAAGTAGTTATAGCGTTATATTATTACTTTTTAAGCGCTTAGCGTGTAGCTAGTTTTTAAGCCTACTATTTTTAGTCTAATCTTACTTCTCTTTTACGTGCGCGTAAGCTACCTTTATCTTCTCTACTTACTACCTTTTGTATAAGGTAGCTGCCGCTTTTAGATCTCTATCGCGAGTTTTTTAGAGTTATAGTCTCTCTACTTTATACTATCTTGCTACCTCGCGCTTACAGGCCTTGCGATAATAGTTAGAACTTAAGAAAATAGTATTACTACTCTTAGTCTCGTTATCGCTTATTAATAGAATTGTGCGTCTATTCTACTACTTCTTTTTAGTAGTAAGCGCGTCTATAAGACTATCTTTATTATAGTAATATATCTTATTATTAATCTATAGCGAGTAGATAGCTCTTATAAGCTATTTAGCTTTAAGTTTTACTTTATTCTTAATAGCAGAGTTAAAAAAAATTCGCAGCTATCTCTAACTACTACTATTACTCTTCTCTCTAATTTCTAAGTCTATATCTTATTATTATAGATAGTTTTTAAAGCGTTTTAGAACTAAGTTAGCGTTCTATAGCTATACGTCTATAGCTAAAAAACTCTTTAATATAAGCTTCTACTTTATTACAGAGCTTTACGCTACTAGAAAGTTACTATAGAAGTTGCGTTTCGAGACGCTTATAAGGCCTCGCGATTACTACGTGTTATAGTTAAGTTACGTTGTATAGCTCTGCGAAAGCATTAAGAAAAGCACTATATCTAGCAGCTATAAGCTATAGGTTAAATAGAGAGAAAAGAGCGCTAAAAGAATTTAATTAGCGTTGTAAAAGTTAATAAAATTAGCTGTTATATAGCTACTATAGCTATTAAGTAGTAGAAGACGTTATTAATAGCGCGCTTTCTCTTTAGTATAGCAATTAAATACCTAGGTAAGCTAGGTAAGCCTAAGATTATTATTTATCTATTCTAAAAGTAAATAGAAAACGAAAACCTAGTATTACTCTACTATATTATTGTTAATCTAGCTTAATTAAACGCTAGATAAGCTTTAGTATATAAGAGTAGGTAGTAATACCTCTCTAGAAGTATATATGTAAGCTAACAGCGTTACCTATTCTCTATTACTATCTTAGATTACTATAGTGCGCTCTTTTTAAGCTAAAGAAGCCTTACTAAAGATTCTTTTTAACTAAACTATTTATCTAATAAAGAAGTTCTTCTTATCTATATTATACGTGTTACGCTCTTTAACGCTATACTCTTGTATCTTTAGATATAGTAAATTAAAGTATAGCTTATACTTGTACCCGCTATTAGCTTAGTAATAATTATAGTTAATTTCTGCGCTCTATTTAGCTATAATCTTATAGGCGTAGTAGTTAAGAAAGTAAGTAACCTAGCCTTAGAAGATCTTCTATTTCGCTACTGCGCTACTAAAATTTTATATTATCTCGCGCGTAGATAGCAAGCCTCTTACTATGCATCTTTCTATATACTTTACTAATTCTCGCTCTTATTATAGGTTAAGTAACTACTAGGCGCGTTCTATATCTTTATTTAAGCTCTAAATACCTTAGTAGTAACACGATAGCGTTGTTTAGTTAATATTAAACTTTTTCGCGACTTCGCGGTACAATAATAAAGCTAGAGTATTAGCAGAATTAATTTCTACAATCGCTTCTTAAATCGGATTTATAGTAGTAGAGTTATAACTTGTTTAAAATAGAGTGTTTTTAATATTATAATGTTTAGGTAGCTTAAACAGAGTTTTAGCTTAGATAACTAACATTAACTATATAGAGGAGTTGCACTTTTATAAAAACTATAATAGTAGAGTAGATAGCTTACTTGTAAGAGCAGCTCGCTTATAAACTACGTTACCATTAAAACAAGGTCTCTCTAGTAGTATAACTACTATAGATAACCGAGTAGGAGAAGAGACAAGGCAGAGTAGCTGCAACGTATTGTATTAACTGTCGTGTATACTCTTGTTTCTCGTACGTGTAAATAGTAACGAGAACGCTATAGTTAGCCGTGCCTCTCTTACACAGTAGGTACCACGGCCCTTCCTTCCACTAACCTGGACTAAACCTACATATTCTCAACAGTTACGTTAAATTATGTTCAAAAGATAGATTTTACACGATCCTCCAAGGGCTGCTGATTATTTAGGTCCCGCGCCACCTGTTCAACCTCGGCTAATACGCGCAGGATATTGGCCCCCGCCACCCCACACACGTCGGCAACCGACACGCCTCTGCGCAACAGCTCCTCGATCAATGCTGGATATGTGCCAACATCTTCAAGTCCAGCTGGGCCACTATCGAAGCCCATGCCGTCGAAATCCGCGCCGATACCGACGTGCTCGAAACCGATCAACTCGCCTAGGTAGATGATGTGGTCGGCGACGTCTTTGAGCGCAGCTTGGACACTGCACGTGACGAAACCGGGGAAGAAGTTGACCATGATAATCCCGCGTTTTGCCTTGAGCGCCCACAATTCCTCATCAGCTACATTGCGCGGATGATCGCAGAGTGCGCGGGCTGAGGAATGAGTGTAGACGACAGGTGCGCGCGACGCGTTGAACGCATCGCGTTGCGTGGCCACTGAGGTGTGCGACAGATCGACCATGAGGCCCAGCCTGTTCATCTCGAGTACCACGTCGCGTCCTGCATCTGATAGGCCGCCGTTCAATGGTTCGGATGGACTACAGCTGTCGGCATAAGCATTATGACAGCTATGTGTTAGGGTCACGTAGCGCGCGCCCATTTGATGTATCAGCCGCAGAAAGGAACCGCTGTTGGCTATCTGGTGCAAGCCCTCAACGCCCATCAGACTAGATATACTGGATGCTTTCGACTTTGCGAATTGCGACCATACCTCCGCGGCTGATGATGCGCGCTGCAATCGTTCTGGGTAGGCATCAATGAGTCGGTTGATGAGGTCCATCTGCTGCAGCGTTTGGTGCATCGACTCGTAGTATGTTCCCTGGTCGTTGACATCGCCCCCGTCACGTGGACATTCGACATAGGCGCTCCAGAATTGGGCCCCTAGGCCGCTTCGTTCCAATTTCGGAAAGTCGACTTGGCCGATTAGATCCGCCGTGTCGCTAAAATTGGACCCGTATATGTGGTTGTAGTAAAAAGCCCGGATGAAGATGGGAAAGTCGTTATGTCCATCTGCACGATAACATCTTTTAGCAGATCCGCTTGCAAAGAGAGAATCATTGCTCACCTATCAACGGAACTTCTTTTAATACCCGATCCACGAGATTGGTACGATGCGAGCGGCAACTCTTTACAGCGGCCAGTCCAGTGAGGAGAAGCGCTAGCAAAGCCGCGAAGATAGCTTTGGTTCGTGTCGATTGCGTTTTCTCTCGCGCCATGTGCGACACCGACTGCTCGTTCTTCTCCATCCTTTCAAAAAAGAGATGGTATGATATGATTCGCATTCGTTGAGAAGGCCCATACGTTTTAATACGATGATCCTCATCTACCGGCTAGGCAAACCTTCTCGGTCGCCGGTGTTTGGCAAGGGTGTTTCGCAAAAACAAGTCCATCAAGGTGTTCACGTCATTGCGCATGCCGGCCAAACGGGACGCAGAATTCTTTTCATTTAAACAATTCGAAGGACATCTATGTAGCTTCAGCGGGGTGGTCATGATGAAGAATAAGAAAAGAAAGACGAGCCTGCTCAGGAGACGATTTCGGAGACCCTGCGTCTCATCCGTATCTTGGCGTCCATATTAGGTCCGTTCTGCACCTCTATGCACATATTCGGAGGCCGCGTCTTTACAACACCCTCCCACTCCATGTCGTACTCGTGAAGCAGCTTTGCGAAGATAAGCTTAACTAATCTGACCGTATAAAATCGTCCTGGACAGGCATGTCGACCATAACCAAACCTGCCGCGCGTTAGTGATGGGTTTTCTTAGTTTCTTCTCGCAATATGGAAGCTTACGTAAGAAAGGTTTTGTCGACGGTGGATGCATTGACTTCTTTTTCATCCGTCTGAGTTGCAAACCTGAATCCGCGGAAGGTGAGCGGATCTTGGTAATTCTCGGGGTCGCGTTGAATGGCTTGGATGGGGAAGGCAAAATGAGATCCTGCGGGAAGCGTGTAGCCGTCAGAGAAGCTGAAGGGCTTGTTCCTAACAGCTCGCGTTACGGACACTGATGTAAGGTCAGTACTAAACATGGCGGATGAATAAGCTCAATGAGGCACTTACCAACGCCAGTGGGATATAGACGCATCGTTTCGCGCACAAAACTTTCCATGAGCGGCGTCCGGGATACGAAGCTGGCCGTAAATCCGCCAGTCTCTTCTAGTGTGCGAGAAATCTCCGCTCTCAATGGCTCAAGGTATTCCGGACTCATCAAGATTTGGTAAACCATCTGCACCACGAGCCCTCCAGGAGCGCTGCTTCCAGCGAACATGAGGTGCATCAATTGCTTCGCCATCCGGTCTGGATTTCTTTCCACTTCGTCTCCCTCTGCAAGCTCCAGCATCCACTTTACCGCGTTGTTGTAGTCTTTAGACTGGGCCCGCACCTTTTCGATTTGGAGAATCAGATACTTGATGCAGCGCGACAAGTGCGTTCGATGTTTGATCGCAGTGAGCCATGCTACCAGATTTCTGAATGGACCGAGTGCGATACCGTTGACCAGAATGGCGCTGATGAAAAGAGACCGGTTGAAAAGTTGCGATTCCTCAATGAAGACTTTGTCGCGCGCAAGGTCTTCGCCAAGTAATATACGACAAGTAATGCGGTGCGCCATTTCCGTAAACGTGGAGAAAACCTGGACTGTTTTCCATTCGTCTCCGACATTAAGCTCGGCCGCAAGGATGTGATCAGTCTCAGTCTTCATAGTTTCCACCAGCGATGCTGTAGTCTGTTAGACAATGTGGCAAAGGAACTATGCAACTGCGGACGTACGCAATTGAGGATTGAGGTACTGCTTGACAGCATCAGGCATCATTTTCGACGCATACACGTCGCCGGCAGAAACGTGGACGTTGAACGCCTCACTGAAGCATTGCGCAAAGCTGAGATCGTCCTCATCTGCCTTGCGAACATCATCGAGGTACCGAGGGGGCATTAGTAGGTAGTCCCATCCAAAGACTTTGCTGATGAACGGCTTTCCCAGCGCTTTGTGGAACTGTCCCGCTAGTTAGCCCAATCAAGCATAGCGGAAATAGAGGCACCCGCCTTTCGGTATCCACGTTCAGCCCATCTATCCATCTCGAATCGCATAGGCACCTGACCTGGGATGAGCGACCACCATCTTGATTTTCCAACCCGAGCGGCGTCATAGGATGATCTTCGGGAAGACACGAGAAGGATGGCGATGAAGACAGGTATAACAATCGGCAGGATCCGCGATACTAAGTGCTTCGTCTCGGGCTCGATCTCCAGCAGCGTTGTGGCATTTCCTACGCCTTCCATTTTGTTGTTTCTTGCCAATTGGAATTGCCCATCGTCTACCTTTTGAAATAGTGGCATAGTAACTCCGAGTCGGCGACCGACACGACTAAACCACGCATATCCTCAAGTCGGCGACCTACCTTTTCCCAATCATGGCTTATACACGTGATTACGCGCGCATGTAGGAACGCAACCCATTTCTTCCATGCATATCCGATCTGGAATTTCCGAATAAACTCATTTCTTTCCTAATCCAAGAACATCACGCTCCCAGCGATGGACACGCAAGCTATGCCGTTCAAGCCCACACGCGGTGCCTCGACCCCGCACCTGCTCTTGGTTGTCGCACAGATCGTGTTCCTATCTTCCCCGCCTTTTCCCTTGCGCAGACCGCTCGCTATAGCCACCCTCGTAGCCCTCGCTCTATGGGCCCACCAAAGTTCATGGACACACAACCCGGGTGCCGCCAACTTCGCCGCCCTCGCCTGGCCTCACTGGCTCGCCACGATTGAGAAATTCCTCAATCACACACCGAACCCTGAATCTGCGCTTTGGCCTATCGATAAAGCGCCTGGTGTTGCGTTGACATGGCCGGCGTTCGGATGGCGCAAGATAAAGTGGGCCGTCTCTTTGATCCTCAATCTGCGAGGCATCAGATATAATTTCCAGGTCAAGAATGTGCCGAGGACGAGGTTTTGGTCTACTAAGCGGGGCGATACGGTGAGGTTCTTAGCATGGCAGGTCGTGGAGTTGGGGTTATTTATGCTCATGGGCGATTTAGTGGCGCAACTGAGTATGAAGTTATTCTTTGCTTCGCCTGGCTTGAATAGTATGGAACTCACGATAAGAGATATTGATTGGAAAGCGGGGTTTGGGAAAGCCCTGGTTTTTGGTGTGGGGCCGTACTTTTTTATCAATATGCAGTACATCCTCGCTTCTGTTGTCTGTGTTGGCTTGCGCATCAACAAACCTGAAGTGAGTAATCATCTCTCGCTGAGACACCTTTATTACTGGTCCTGTTTTTTACAATGCAATTGGAGCATCATCTGACTAGTGGCTCGCAGGACTGGCCCCCTCTTTTCGGCCGCCTGGCTGAAGCGACGACAGTGCGCTCGTTCTGGGGCAAATTCTGGCACCAGATGATTCGAAAGGTGAGTGTACATCCATCATCCCGCTTCATACTCGATACTAACATCTTGTGAAAAGCCGCTTTCTGGCCTCACTGGCTCTCTCGTCGACGCTTTGGGTATTAAGCGCGGAACCAACACTTCTTCCTACACTCAGCTCTGGATTTCCTTCGCCATCTCCGGCGTTATGCATGCGGCTTCAATGACCTTGATGCCGTGTCCAGCCAACGTCCCCGAATGGGATCGCTGGCGAGGTCTGCTTCTATACTTCATCTGGCAGGCCGCGGTTATCACGACCGAGGATTTTGTAATCTACTTCTGGAGAAACGTTTGGGGAGGTGGCCAGGAAAAGCGCATGTGGAAACGTTTGGTGGGATATGTATGGGTTACATGGTCATTTTGGACGTCGTTGCCGTGGGCAGCAGATGTGCTGTTGAAGTTGAGGATGGGAGAGACATCACCCTTTCCAGGGACAGTATGGGGACCACTTGTGGAGCGCTTTTTGTCTTAGCGAGATGTGCCAAACGCAAATTTAAATGTAGTCAACTCCCCTACCTTGGCACTTCGCCAGGATTCCTGAAACAAATTTCGCCTAACGTAAACCACCACCGAGCTGGTCAACCCACTGAGCTGGTCAAAAATGCTTGGCAGCCCTAACTTATGTTACCGTGCCCGTGCACCCAACGAGCCAGTTCGGCCAACGAGCCACCTGGAACATCATAACATTAGAAACCGTCCCAACTTCAACGCACCATAACTCCACCACCATGGATCCAATTCAGAAAGCGATTGAGGATATTAAATCGCGTGAAGAAGGCGCATCTTTTAGCTATCGCCAAGTTGCAAAAAGATGGGGTTGTAACCGAACCACTTTAGCGCGAAGACACCAAGGCCTCTAGCGCCCGCGTGAAGTGGAAGTGCGCGAGCATCGACAACTGCTCAACCCACGACAGGAGCACGAACTTGTACTATACATAGAAAGATGCACAAGGCGAGGCTTACCACCGACTCGAGAGATGGTACAAAATTTCGCAGAAACGGTGGCGAAACAAGAGGTATCCGAAAGCTGGGTTACTCGGTTTCTACATCGCCATGCCGACGAGCTCACCATTAAATGGAGCACCGGGATCGATCGCAACAGACACAAAGCTGACTCAGAAGAAAGATACAGGCTATACTTCGACTTGTTGCACTCGAAAATGCGAGAGTACGACGTTGACGCTCGCAACACCTACAATATGGATGAGAAGGGCTTCTTCGTCGGCATCACAACACGCTCAAAACGCGTCTTTACCAAGGCAATATGGGCTTCAAAAGAGCGCAGAGCAGCCATACAAGATGGTAACAGGGAATGGATAACGCTGTTAGCTTGCGTGTGCGCTTCTGGGGACTCATTACCGCCGGCGCTCGTATACCAGGGCTCATCAGGGCTGCAATCGGGCTGGGTCGACGGCGTTGAGGTCGGAAAACACCAGGTTTTCTTCTCGAACTCACCTACTGGATGGAGCAATAATAATATAGGATTAGCATGGCTTGAGCAGGTGTTTGATCGCTCTACGAAGAAGAAAGCAGGTCGCGATTACCGACTTCTCATCCTCGACGGCTACGGCAGCCACATCACGACCGATTTTATAGATTATTGCGACGGCAGTCGAATCCTCCTAGCCATCTTCCCCCCGCATGCTACCCACAGCCTTCAGCCGCTTGACGTTGTCTTGTTCGCGCCGCTTTCGAAGTACTACTCGCAAGAACTCGATCGCCACATCTACCGATCGCAAGGCATCACGAGAATCACAAAACGCGACTTCTTCTCTATCTTCAAGCCCGCCTAGGACGCTACAATAACGCAGGATAACATCCTGAAGAGTTTTCAAGCTACAGGAATATGGCCGATAGATGCGGACGTTATACTGCAACGCTTTAACAACCGCACTTCAGAGCAAGACAAGAATTCAAAACTTAGGCAACACAGCGACGGCGATAGCTAGAGGGAGCTGCGCAAAATTTTTAACGCCGCAGTCGCTAACAAGGCAAAGGTTGAAGCCTAGCGACTCGAGGCTTTATTACACTCTCTACAGACGCAAAACGAACTCCTACACTACGAAAACGACAGCCTCACGCGCGCGCTCGAAGCTAAAAAGAAACAAAAGACGAAGAGCAAGACTATGGACCTTCAACAGCGCAAAGAGTATTATAGTGGCGCTGTTTTCTGGTCTCTAAGGAAGATCCGCGAAGCGCGCGCGCGCGACGCCGTAAAGCAGGACGAAGCCGAGCAGCAACAACTCCAGAAAACTCACGATAGAGAGATAAAAGCGGCGGCAGCGATATACAAAAAGCAGCAAGCTGAGGCTGTAAAGGTGGCTCGACAACATGCCGCTAAGGAGCGTCGCAAGGCGGAGAAAGAGCGTGCTAATGAACTAGCTGCTGCTTAGGCGCTTAAAAAGCAGCAAAACAACACTGCAACCGCACAAAAATCTCACAATACACCTACAGAACGCAAGCGAAAAGCCTCGCACAAAGCAGTTAAAATTCCAGCAAAGCGTCGTCGTACTGTAGGTAGCAGAACTAGTATTGCACCTGCACCTGCTACACCGCCTGCGCTACCAAAAGCGACCCGAACGCGCAGCGTCAAACCTCCGCAGAGATATTCTAAATAGCTAGAAAGTTTCGCAAGCGTCTATAGAACAATACACTAAGAAATCTCGCGATAATCGCTTCTGTAGGTGGCTCTACAGCCTCATCTTTCTGGTTGTCTAATCTCGGTGGGGTAGCTCGTTGGCTGACCTGGCTCGTTAGGTGCACGGGCACGGTACGCATCTTTAATTTAATCGCTATTAAACAAAGAGCCTGCGTACGTTGTACTTAAATCTAATTTAGAAGATAACTCTGTATCTTTTTTGTACGTTCGCGTATTGTGTTCTATCCTGCTGCAGTTCCTATAGCGCTGTAGACCTAGTTAGGCTAGTTCTTAATTACTACTACTATAAGCTTTCTTAGATCGCTAAGGCGCTGCGGACGTCTTAGCGGCTACCTGTGCTGCTGCAATTCTATACTCTGTAGTGCTACTATGCTAGATCTGCTTGCGCTTACGCGTTTTGCGCTTAGTTATTACTACTAATTACTCTTTAAGCTTATAGATCTAAGTAGCTTAAAGCGCGTTTTAGTGTAGTATTAGCTTACTACCTTTTATAAGCTAGAAGAAGCTAGCCTAGACTATAACAGGCGAGCGAGTAAAAGACTAGCATACAAGCTTTAACTAAGATCTAAACTTATACGTATTGCTTAGAGTCTTTAACTGCTACAGCGTTTCTAGAAGAAAAAGTTCTAGTAGATTACGTAACTATACTTTAAAGCAATCTAATACTACTTACGTATTAATAAAGACTATCTCTAACGCCTTAAAGGCCTTATAGTAGTTCTTCTCTATAAACACGTTAAAAAACGCGTTCTTAAAAGTAGAGAGAAAGCCTTTCTTATTAATATAGAAGACGCGTTAGCGCGCTAAGTCTCTAACGCGCTAGAAGTACTTACGCTTTAGTAGTAAAAAGTAGACTACGTTAAGTAGCTAGAGAATATATAATAAGTAAAGTAGTATATAGAGAGTTAGAATCTTATTTTTAAGGTAGTAGTTCTTAGAACTCTAGTTAAGGTAGCTCTTATAGCTGTCTAGAATAGGTAGTCTATATATTTCTACTTTACGCGTCTTTATATGCGTATTAAAGTACTTTAACTACTCTAGACTAAGCGTATTATTTATTTAGCTATTCTCTAATACTAAGAGCTTCTAATTACGTAGTATATTTGCTTTCTTATACTACGCTAAGATATAAACGCGTTTCTTAAAGATAATAAAAAGTAGAGTTATATACTTAGCAGTGTAGATACTCTAAATAACTATAACTTACTTATAATTACCTAGCTAAACTAGCTCTAGTTAAGCGCGTCTCTCTACGCCTATAATAACCTTTATTAAGCTAATAACGCCTATCTAGAAGCTAGTCTTATTAAAGTTGTGTATATTATTATTATAAACGCTGTACTTAGCTTTAGTATTCTCTACTAGTATAAACTACGCGCTAATTATCTCTAGATCTTTCTATAGTATTCTCTGCCTATTCTTTACTTAATTAAAGACTATTTTAAGCTTAGCTAAACGCGTTACAAAGCGCTTAGCCTAGTACTTACTAACTAGCTTACTACTGCGTATAGCTAGTATTTTATTAGCTATATCTACTACCTCGCACAGCTAGAGCGCGAATTCTCGCGAATTAAGGTTAAGAATATATTAAACAATTGTCTACTCTTTAGTCGCAGCGAGCTTATAGCTATTAGGTTATATACTAGGTTAAAATAGAATTCTATTATATTAGCTAGTTAACGTTAAAGAAGACACTCTAAACGCGCTAGTAGCGAGTTAGAGGCTTTTAAATTAATAGTAGTTATAGGTAGAAAGCGCAAGTAATATTCTGCTCTCTTAACTAGAAGGCTATACATTCTATTATTAATTTATATCGCGTTTGTTATAAGAGTAGTACTACTAAGCATTTTTAACTAGCTTAGTAGTAATTTACGTTATTAATTGTATTGTAACATCTAATATATAAGACAGCCGTTTAGTTAGAGAGTAAAGCCTAATTAGTCTAGTGTTTTAGGACTAGAACTATACGCTAGAAATAATCTACATAGAAACGAGCGCGAGGTGCTATAATTTTTATCCCTGCACAAGACGGTTCGATATTTTTACATCTCGGGTTATAGTCGTTTAAGCTAGATTATAAAGCGTTCTAGAGGTTAGACCTTTTTTAACTATTACTGCTAGTGTTAATGCATGTACACAAACGCATGTGTACTTGGTCAAAAGTGCTAGCATCCCAGAATTAACAAGATACCATCAGAAAATCATTATTCACACTACGCATCTTTGCTCAAACATCGATAAACAACCTAGTTCAACACCCAACCCTTAAGAGTAGGTAACCATCAAGAACCAACGAAACCTCTCCAGTCACGTACTCAGTTCCCGCCAAACACCAAACATCGCACCTCGATACTCTCGCGCCTCGGCGCCCCCTCTTTTGTCTCCGGGTGCTCAAATGCACAATGCGGGCAAACTGCATCATTAAAAACATCAGCATCTCATCATCAACACACCCACACCCACACCCTCCCCTCTCATATTCCCGGCCCCCAAAAGGAAGAGAAAAAAACTCACGTTTCGCAGCCACATCCGCCTTACTATCATAGATCTTAATCAACAGCGCCTCATCCGTGCGTTGCTCCCCCAGATAATACCACTTCTGGCCTTCACCGTGGCTGATATTGTACGTCGACCCCAGTTCCTCCCACCTGTTCTTCCAGAGATCGGTCGCGTGCAGGTTTTCTTCGCGGAGCGATTTGCCGTCCATGGTTGCGAGGGGCCAGTCTTGTACGGGGCCGTTGATGGGGCGCCAGACGCTGTAGAGAGGAAAGGAGATTAGTTGAGATGATACTGCGTTGTTTCTGTGTGGGGCCTGTGCAATGAGTGGGATGGGATATACATACTTTATAATTCTAAAACGGCCTTTGAGAAGCTCCTCAGCCTCTTCTCCGGCGTACTGGCGTGCGCGCCGGATAGCGCCTTTGGGTGTTCTAGTCATTTTGCCGTTGTATTAGTACTTATCCATCGTAACGCGCGTGTCGAGTTCACAACAAGATCAAACATACTGATCACAATGCACCTAACCCACCACCACCAAACATTAGCATAAACCCCCCCATCGTAAACCCAAACACGCATCCACGTACCGTCCGCCCAGGCTGTTGCTTCCCCGGGCTCCCAAAGAAACCCTCAGCGGGATCGCGCTTGCGAATCGAATGGTTGAAGATGATAACCTTGTCCGCACCCGTCTTGCGCTTGACCAGGGCTTCCACCGCTGGATAGTACTGCTTCTCGATCTTGTCGACGTTGATGTCGCGGATCGCTTGCAGGAGCTCAGGCGCTGCGCCGGCGGCGTCGTCGACGAAGGTGAAGGCGTGGTCGTCGAGAGTGAAGTCATCTCTGCAGGACCGACAATCTTGCACGTCCACTTTGTATGGTATCCAGTCGTAATTTTTGGTTTCGAAGCCCGGATCGGGGTTAGTGCGGTAGTACGGCGCTTCCTTCTTGCCTTGCCAGGGCTCGATGTAGAGCATTTCTGCTTCGTAGCTGGGTAGGGCGGCCATTTGTTTTGTCACGTGGGAAACCTCTTGGCGATCTGCTGGTTGATGGGTTTGTGGAGTATGGGGGTGTTTTTCTCTGTTCTTGGAAGCTTGAGTCGTGTACATATAAAGCGTCAACATGGGTCGGTGTCCGTGTCCATGAGACGTGACGGATGCGGGATCACCCCGCCGCTTGAGACCGATTCATTCAGATGTTTGTCAGATGACGTGCTCATGTAAGCGATCACAGATATTTTTTCCTGAAATAAGCTAATACTCTGTGTTGGTGGTCTAGTACAAGGATGTGGTGGTGAAGAGCTTGTATTACCGGCTTGGAGCGGCAGTCACTCGGTACCCGATCTACGCCAAGCCAATCAAGTTAGCCCCCCACATATACTCCAGCTTTGCAATGGTTCCTGTAACAATCAACCTGCTCATTCCGGTGGAACGAAGGAATAGTGAGCCAGAGACACCATGGAGGCTATCTCATGGTCCAACAACGGCACGCAAGCGGAAACCATCTCTCCCTCCAACCCATTGACCAAGGGCGATTTCCCCGGATCCTTCGAAGCATGGCGTCCATATGCGACCGGGCTAGGCACAGTCGCACTCTTTCTTTTTGGATTGGGCCTGTTCTACGACCACATCGAGCGGCGGGGAAGTAAACATGTGATCTTGGGTGACTGCGGGTGGTGGCTCCGCCGGACCATGATGACCAAGTTCAACCTGGATCCGAACAATGTTGTTTTTGATGGCTACAAGCGGGTACGTCACACGTTAATCCGGACTATTCACATGAACTAAAAGGTTGCGAGTAGTACACCAAGCAGGATAAGATATGGGCGACGTGGATCAACGACGAGCTGATCCATATTTTGCCACCCAAGTTCTTCGACGATATCAAGAATCAGCCGCTGCAGAAACTTTCCTTTCTCAAGGTAGTTGATGAAGTAAGAAGGGAAAACCTCTCGTAATTTCTTCCGATTGTAAAAGCTTACGTCGCAAAACAGCACTTCATGTGGAACCTGCACGTCGGCGACATGGTGTGCCAGAGAGACTACGTCAAAGCGGTGAAATCGCAGCTGAATTTCAGCCTCCGTAAGATGGAATTTCATCTCAAGGACTAAGATTTCGGACGAGAAAGGCTGACGTTGGCTGTAGCGAGTATGACAGATTACATTGCGGAGCAGACCGATATCGCCATCGCTGAGCGTCTTGCACCACCCGAGAACACCAGGGGTAAGCAGTCATTCATCCGACGCCTGTCCTTCATACGAACAAGATAAGAACAAGACTAACGAGGTATCAGGCTGGAGAAACGTAATGCTTTGGGACGCCACCCTCGACATTATCCATCGCGTAACCGCCGCCGTAATGGTGGGCCCCGAGCTCGCCGCCAACAAGGACTACATCCATCACGCACGCGGATACACAGAGGAAGTGACTTCCTGGAACGCGCCTCTCTTCGCCATGCCCGCCTTCCTGCGCGTGCCCTTTTGGTGGGTTTCGAAAGGCGGGCGGCAAATCCGGGCGCACCAGCGCGAGGTACAAAAGTTTGTGTACCCAGAGCTGCGCAGGCGACAAGCGGCAGGATACGAGAGCAAGAATTTTGCCATGCTGGATGGACTGTTGAAGAGCGCAAAGGACGACACGGAGGCGTCGTACGCCAGAATTGTGAACCAAGAGCTCTTCTTGACGTTTGCGGCTGCGGGCTTGTTCTCCGTCGTCGTGTGTCAGCTTATTCTTTCGGTGCTGGGACATCCACAGTACATGGAGCCGCTGAGGGAGGAGATCGAGAAGGCGGTGCGCGAATGCGGGGGTTGGAATAAGGATGCCTGCGCCAGGATGCCGAAGTTGGATAGCTTTTTGCGAGAGACGTTGAGGTTGAGTCCTCCTACCGCCCGTAAGTTTTACCCGGGATGTGAATGAAGTCCGACAAGCAGTATGCTGACGATGATTCAAGTTACACTGCAACGAAAGGTCGACCAGGATATTCCATTGTCGAATGGCGAAGTAGTCAAGGCGGGTACGCTAATCGGGTTTCCCACTCTGGCCATCCAACGAGACGAAGAGTACTATGAGCGCCCGTTGGAGTTTGATGGATACCGATTCTATGACGCGGAAACGAACTCGGTCAAGGTCAAATCGGTGACGCAAAGCCGTACCTATCTCCCGTAAGACAGCCCCCAGAAGTCCTGCCTGACACGGCTAACCGAGTGAATGCAGATTCGGTTACGGCACCCAAACATGCCCTGGAAGGTTCTTAGCCACCGAAACTTCCAAGATTGTCTTTGCAAAGTTCTTGGTCGACTACGAGATGCGCTTTACGCCTAAACGCACAGGCAAGCCCGTGGATTGGCCGATCGGGGGACAAATCATGCCAAGCATTGATGTGTATGTTTCTTTCAGGCTGCGGAATCGGTAACTCTGCATGTAGGAGGTACACATGCTGCCCAAATGATGTATTCGGAACGTAGTGTTTGCACTCTGGGCTTTGGTCGGAAACCGAGCATGACTAGGCTCAATTGCATCAGTAGTGGCACAAGTACAAAGTGATCATGCGTACCCTCGTTGAAAAAGACAGTTTTGACTTTTGCAAATACACAACAAATATGTCAGTAGCTTCTCGACCTAACGGAGAGGTGGTGATGGGGGACGTGGAACACGACGGCAGAACCATCTTATACGTCATCAAAGGTGCGGAGCCCCAAAGCACAAGCCACGTAGTGTAGCTAACTTGACCGACTGGAAGCCGATCAGACATCCTACATTAATTATATCAAGCCCTTGATTCTTGCCGAAGAGCTTGGCTTCCCATACCGACTGTCCGTCATCGATACCCGTGATGAGTGGTTCTATGCGGTACATCCGGAGCGCATGGTTCCATCCCTGAAAGACCGGGACGACGTGACTGGAGAGAAGATTATTGTCTTTGAAGGAACAGCGTGCCTGCAGTATCTGACTGTAAAGTACGATATTCACGGGGAATGGGCGGGCAGAACGGCATGGGAGAAGGCACAGGTCCTCTCATGGACGGCTTTTCAGACAGCCGGGCTTGGGTATGTCTGAGAAATGTTGTAACAGACCTTCACTTTCTCTGACCCTCCTAGTGCGACGGCCAAATACTGGCTCTACTTCATGCGAGGATATCCCACTAGGCAGAACCCCGAGCCTATGCCCAAGACATGTGCAAAGTAAGGTGTCGTACCGGTGCTCCATTTCCAGACTGGCTGACGGCATGTAGACTGCACTCAAACACGTTGAAAGCATGGGACATGTTGGAGGTACGGTTAGCTTCACCAGGGCAAACATACATCGCCTTGCCGGACCGGCCGACCCTGGCAGACATTTCGTATTTTCCCTTTTCTATGCCGTGGATGTTTAACTTCTTCGGGGTGGATGTCAACAACTGGCCAAACATAAAACGTTGGGGAGAGTTGATGCTGGCACGGCCGGCGGTACAGAGAGTCATGTCGTCAGCGCCTAGCATTGGACACTGAGCTGGTGCGACAGGGCAGGGGTAGAAGTCGGAACAAAGCAATAGAATGAATGTCCGTCTTGCCAAGTCGGTGACCGAGCTGAGACGACGCTTATGCTACAAGAGCGTCTTTTTGACCAAGGTGTGATATCATGTCGTGAGAGCAACAGACGAAACAACACACAGCCAAGGAACGAAATGGCCCTAGACTCGGAAACAGACGCGCTCATCCGCCCAGACAGCCGCGAAGTAGAGGCAGCCGACGACAACGCGCCTCTATGGGCACCCAAAGGAACCCCGGCAGGCTACAAGGCCATGCCCGTGTCCTTTTTTGCGTCGTGTGCAATGGCGGCAACTGCAGCCTCGACCGTCTACGCTTACGCACACATCCTCTGCAAGGACGCGTCCCAGTGCGCGGATGGTGAAAAGGCAGCGTATGCGTCGGCGGTGGCTGTGGCGACGACGCTTGCGAATGTATGCGGACTCATGGCCGTGGGGATATACGAGCGGCTGCCGACGCGAGCGGGGCTTGCGGTATGGATAGGGCTCAGGGCAGGCAGTGTGGTGGTGCTCGGAGCGGGAGGTAAGGCAGCGACAACGAGGCGAGGCGGCGAGATTCGGGACACATGGCTGACGAGCAACGATAGTGGTGCAGAAGAGTGTCGGACTCGCGTTAGGAGCGCGCCTTCTTGAAGGCCTGGCCACGGACAACACGCTACACCTGGTGTTGAACGGGCTGTATGCGCGCAGCAGCGATCAGCGCCATGTTGGCCGCCTCATGTCGGCATCGCTCGCCCTGTACATGGCTGGTATGTCGCTCAGCCCGGCGCTGGCAGCACTGCTGTCCGATTTCCGTACCTCCTTTGCCGTCGCTCTCGTCATGTTTGGTGTAGCAGCTGTCTACCTGGCCATGGTGGGAAGGCTGGATGAGGGGACCGTCGGGAATGGCGGCGTTAACGGCCACGGCCACCAAGGCCCGACCGTCGGGCGGCTGAGCGCCCTCGCCCGGCCGGCACTGCGCCTGTTCAGTGACCGCGTAGTCGCTGCGCATGGTGCCGCCATGTTTTTGTACAATGCCGCCATCTCCTACATGTTCCCCGCCCTCATGGTGCATGCGACGCTCCAGTTTGCCTTCACCCCCGCCCAGAATGGCCTTCTTTTGTCCGTGGCAGCGGGAACGTCGTCGCTGTATCTCATAGTCGCGGCCCTCGTTTCTCGTCCTGCCCGTAATGCCAGCTCTGTGCTGGTCTCGCTCACGGTGCTGGTGGCCGCTTTAACCGCTCTCGCCATGGTGCGCGTGTCGTGGGCGCTGTTTCCCGTCGTAGCTGTTGCATCCTTGGGTCTGGCAACTCCTTCATTCGTCAAGGCGCATCTCGTGCAGCGTAGACAGCATGATGCTCTGGCTGTTGCCGCTATTTCCGTCGCAGAAGGTCTGGGTAGTCTTGCTTCCGCGCCATTGCTAGGTGCATGGCAAAGTACCCATCCTGGCGGCAGTGCTTTGTTTGTTGCGGCTGCTCTTGCTGCTTCTTCAGCTAGCATTTTCGTGCTTGGGTGTTTGTAGTGAATGATACAGCGTTGGGTTTGGCAAGTGTCCACAAAGATCGTGAAGGACACGAACACGTGATTGCACAGGGGTCGGGGTCTCGGCGCGGCGGGGTAGCTCCTCTTGGAATCATGGCCCGTATACGTGGTTGTGCGCGACGTTGAAGAATCCAAACTTCGTTTCCTCTACATATCCAATCTCGCTACATACACCTCAATCAACATCCAATTATCCCTGCCGCTTGGTACAGACAAGTCGAATGTCCGGGTGGGTGATCCACTCATCCGGATTCACCGAGTAGTTGCTGTTTGCGTCCTGTGGCCTGAGCTTCACCTGCCACTCCTTGACAATGGACGCAACTATGCTCCGGAGCATGCGGTCCGCAACGAATTTTCCCATGCATTGGCGCGGCCCAAATCCATATCGCCACATGTTATATCGCGTCTGGGCTGGCTTGAGACCCAGGAACCGCGACGGCATGTATTCCGAGCTCTTGTCGCCCCAGAAGGGATTGCGTATGTTCAGCCCATACGTGTCAACAATGACCATCGTCTATCAACCGTCAGCTTCTGTACAACACATATGTGATGCTGGATACTTACCCGCGCGGGTATGATCCACTCGCCAATTTTCCGGTCCGACGGAGGCGCTTGAGGAATCGAGAAGGCTGTAACATGACGTTAATTCAGGATTCCAGAATATACTTTCGCTATACACGTACGTGCGACAGGCCGTAGGCGAGACGATTCGTTGATGCAGGCCGCAAGAAATGTATCGCCTCTAGCAATGTATGCGTCCCATCGAGAATCATCCCCTTCACCCTCTCTCTCAACCTCCTCGAAAAGCCTGGCTTGATCTTCGGGCGACGACGCGAGATAGATGAAGTTCCATGAGATCGCGCCCGTTGTGACGTCTAGGTTTGCGAAAAGTGACTCGTCCAGGGTTTGTAGCAACTGTCAAGGTTAGGTACAGGGCCAAATAAGCCATGCACTTGTCCTTACCTGTGTCTGAGAAACCTTGCCCGCTTGGCAGTCTTCCCAAAGCTTGACCATGGGAGTCACTGCTCCCCTATCCTTGGCCTTCTTGTAGATGGATTCGTTGAAGCTCAGCCACTCCCACTGGAACTCGTCTAGAAGTCTGTTTGCCGTAGTGGGAAGGAACTTGGAAATCGAGAACCGGGCCATGCCGCCTTTGATAACAAAGGTGAAGAGCTTCTGACGCACTGGCACAATCTTCCTGAGCCATCGAATATCTTCTGCGTCAAGGTCGCCATACAACACGGTGGCTACAACGAGAAAAGGATAGAAGCTGATGTCCTTGGCCGGATCGAATACGCCGTTGCGAAAATCTCCGCTATTGCGCAGTTGCTCAACGAACTTTCGGGTTTGCTCTCGGATGACGGCTGCTTCGTTCGATATGGCCATATGCGTGAATGGAACTTCCATTTGGGAGCGCAGGCTCTGCCATGACTTGCCGCTAAGCAGACCCACACATTGACCAAGGATCTTGCTCATCAGGTACCCGGAATCATTGTTGACGGCTTTGTAATGCTGATCAGAGTCTTTGAAGAGCTCCTTCAGATGATTGGGGTTCGAGACAACACTGAATGCACTTATCAGTAAATTACACATGTGGGTGGAAGAGGGAAACTTACACCTCGGACACTGATCCGGACCAGATTCTGTAAGTAGATCCATGCGACTTATGCCATTCTTCGGCGTTTTCGCGACCCTGTAGGAACTTTGCAACGTCTCCGTTGCCATTCGGCCATATGTAGGGCAGGGATGGCAAACTCTTCTTGCCATGCTCGTCTTTAATCGGATTCGCCCAGTGTAGATACCACTATGTTTTGTAAGTTTCTTTCTTGCACAGCTTTGTAGATAATTTCTACGTACGTTGCAAACAACTGAAAGCACCTTTACGATTGTTTCGCTAAGGAAAGCACGGGCTCTGAGTAGAGCGATGGTAACTAAGGTGGTGACGCTGAGTCCTAAAGCTAGATGCTTTGGATCCAGCGTACTGGTGCCGCCTACGATATCGTGGACTAACATTTAGAGTTCGAAGTTAATAAAACGCAAGATAAAGTTCGAGAACAAAGTTTGGGGACATGGGCTTTCGATGGCTACAAAAGCATCATAGTCATGGATTTGAGACTAGCGAATGATAAAGCTCAGCATCAGTACCAATCCTGGAAAGACGATTACTCACAGCCTTCATCGGCACCCGAGTGCTCGAGTGTTGCAGGGGTTTGGCGAGGTGCGCTGCTACATCTCGCCCACTCCTCTTGCCAAAACAAGCGTGTGAGCATAATGACCTCTGAGAAGAGATCGCGGTAGATGTGGGAAGCCCATTTTGCTATCGTGTTTTTCTAAGGGATATACAGCATTCTCTGGGACATTTCACAAGTATTATGAACCATTTCATACCTCAACTTGTGCAAGGTCACGCTGCCACTAGTGACACTGTTTTGGTCGGAAGCCGAATGGAGCATTATGTCATGTCATAAAAGCATCTACACAACAAGAACAGGGTTATGAATCAACAATCATCCCACAAGATGGATTCTACGGACAAGACATTCCCCGCTGTCAAGGAAGGCAACATTCCCTACGATGGAAAGCCGATCCTCTATGTCGTCAAAGGTACACAGCAATTCGAAGAGTTCCATACGATCACTATGCTAATCGCATCGCGTAGCCACCAAAACGTCTTACATAAACTACATGAAAGTGTTGATGTTAGCCGAGGAGCTTGGTATCGATTACGACATCTCAGTCGTGGTAACCAAAGACGAATGGTACCATAGTGTGCATCCCGAGCGCTACGTCCCCACAATCCGCGACCAAGACGCAGAAACAAAGCAAGACCTTTATGTTTTCGAGAGCACAGCCTGTTTGCAGTACCTAGCGGATACGTACGACAAAGAAGGTCTATGGCATGGAAAGACGCAGTACGAAAAAGGAAACATCTTATCATGGCTCGCGTACCAAACAGCCGGGCTCGGGTGCGCATATTCACCCTCCCTTGTCCACATTGTGCAGCTAACGGGGCAAATTCCAGAGCGACATCAAAGTACTGGCTGTACTTCTACGCCGTCCACGACGAGAAATTGCCAAAGGCTATCGATAAGTATGTGTCTAGCCTCCCCCTTCCCCAATCTGGAACCCGATTTTCCCGATTCTAACCAGACCGACTCACTAGGCTGTACGCCAATGTCCTGAAGCAATGGGACATTATGGAAAAGCGCCTATCCGAACCAGGGCAGACATACGTTGCGCTAAAGGATCGCCCTACCGTGGCTGACTTGGCTTACCTGCCTTTTGCCATGCCGTACATGTTCGAGTTCATGCAGGTCAAGATTGAAGATTGGCCCCGGATCAAGGCGTGGTCGGATCGCATGTTGAGCCGTCCGGCTGTTCGCAAGATCCTGGAGTTTGCGCCGACGATTGGGAATTAGAGTGTTTGTCTTTATGCGACATGAGTGATGTGGGAATACGATTGATTTCTATATACGCTATCCCAGAATCTTTTGTCTGTGTTTGTGATACGCGGTACGTTCTCGCTGTGGAGAAAAAAGCTACTGTGACTTCGCGATGGTGGTCTGGATTTGTGGAAGTGACAGGGTCGGCTTTCGATGATCATTGTCGGAAGCCGATGATGCCACGCCCCACACTCCCGACCACCTTACCAAGCAACACCAACCTTGCATTGCCACTAGTACTACTATCCGTATACTATACATTCCTATTCCGGTGCTGTCATGCTTCTGGGCCCCATCTATGTCGTCGTTCGTTACTGTTTCTTTTCTTTCTGATCCCCCACAGCTTTTCTCCTTGTCGACTTACAACACGTTCTTTACCCCGCGACCGATCATGGAGCCAAAATTTCTGAGCGCAGTGCTTTGGTCGTATCCTGTTGCGTTTCTATTGGTGTCGCTTGTCGCCAATGGTCATGATGCCTTGTACAAGACGGATGTGCCTAGCGACAAAAGTTTCAATCGCCGGCGCATAGCGCGGACGGACAAGTCTTTACTTTTACTTCATTGTATTTTGGCTGTTCTGCTTGTGAGTATAGAACTGAAACTGAAAACCGTCCTCCGCTAACATGAATGTTTGAACAGGCTGTTAATACGGGTCTTGCAGCATACGGCTCCTTGAAACACGTTCCTGGTCCACTCTTTAGTGGCGAGGCATATTTGGTAAGACAACCCACCCCTGCAAAGCCTAAAAATCGCTAACAGTTTCTTTCTAGGGCGGAATCATCTCGATATTGTTGATCGTCTGCAGTTCACTCCTTCCAGATCCGGACCTACCCTACTCGCCAAACCGTCCCAATTTCCAGACATGGCTTCTCAGCATCGCATACGAGGCAGGCATCCTATTCATATGCTTTATCAGCGCCAGGAACGCGCCGGATATACACCACAACGCCTTCTCAATTGCATGCGAGGCACTGGGAGCCGCGAGAATTGTGGTTCTGGGCGTAATGGCAATACTCTTCGTCTTTAGCAGACGTGTAGTCGACGAGTCCAATTCCGATAGCGAGACAGAGTCTCTGCTCAGTCCAGAACAAAGCGTTCACTATGGTTCGACACCAGCGGCCGCTCCACAAGGGTCCAAGGATGCGCAAACCGTATCCGCTTTTGACTACCTGGCCGGATTCCGTGATCTCATTCCATATCTCTGGTAAGCTCTTCTTCCACCCAGACCGAGACGTCAGCGCGGACTGACATGAAAGAGGCCTTCTGACGACCATATCCTACAAGCATGGGCCGTGTTCTGTTTTGGACTGCTGATCGCTCAGCGAGCCATCAACATCATGGTGCCGCATCAGCTTGGTATCTTAGTAGAGCATCTGGGCAAAGGCCAACTGCCACTCAAGGATATCATGTTGTACGTCGTGTACCGCAGTTTGCAAGGCCAGCAAGGTGTCCTCGGTTCGCTTCGAGCCATACTCTGGATTCCCATCAGCCAATCGGCCTATCGCCGGCTTACCGTAGCCGCATTCGAGCACGTCATGAAACTCTCGCTAGACTTTCATTTGAGCAAGCGCGTTGGTGAAGTCATCAGCGCACTGAGCAAAGGCAGCGCAATCAACACTTTCTTGGACGGCCTTGTGTTTCAGCTGTTTCCTATGGTGTTCGATCTCGCTATTGCGGCTGTGTACTTCTTCGTGTTCTTGGACGCTTTCTACGCAATCATCGTTGTTGCTGTCATGTGGTTCTACCTCTTCATCACCATCTACATGGCCAAGTACCGTGGCCGAGCAAGACGCGAAGCTGCGACACGGGATCGTGAGATGGATGCCGCCAAGTAAGTCCACCGCATCCCTTTTCCCAATATCGTCCGCACTGACATCCTGCACAGAACCGATGCTATCATGTCGTACGAGACCGTGCACCACAACAGTGCCTTGCCGCTCGAGCTTTCCAAATTCCAACGCCTAGTGAAATACTTCCAGGAAGCAGAGTACTCTGTGTTTTTCTCCTTGAATGCACTAAACGCCGTACAAAATTTCATTTTCGTCGTCGGCGTTCTCCTCACATGTCTTCTCGCAGCGTTTCAGATCTCCGAGGGCATATACAAGGTCGCCATGTTTGTTACGATCTTAACGTACTTGGCTCAACTACAGGCACCGTTGAACTTCTTCGGAAGCTTCTATACTCAAGTGCAAAACAACATGGTAGATGCCGAGCGCATGCTTGCTCTGGTAAGTAGTTTTGACTTCATGGTCCACGCGAACGATACAAAAGCTAACACCTACGTGTTGCAGTACAAGATCACACCTCAGGTCCAGAACAGCCCGCACGCAAAGCCCATGAACACATGCTCGGGCAGAATAACCTTGAACGACGTCGAATTCGCCTACGATAAGCGGAAACCCACATTATCAAATGTCAGCTTCGAAGTCCAGCCCGGCACCACAACAGCCATCGTCGGCGAAAGCGGGAGTGGAAAATCGACTATCCTCAAGCTCCTCTTCCGCTTCTACGAGGTCGATGGAGGAAGCGTCCAGATCGATGGCATCGACGTGCGCGACATCACCATGGCAACACTGCGTACACACTTCAGCGTCGTGCCGCAAGACACAATTCTCTTCAACGAGACCATCCTCTACAACGTCAAGTATTCGAACCCCAGCGCATCTTTCGAAGACGTCCAGGCCGCCTGCAAAGTCGCCAGTATCCACGAGAAGATTATCAGTTTCCCCGATGGTTACAACAGCAATGTTGGCGAAAGGGGTCTCCGACTCTCTGGCGGCGAAAAGCAGCGTATTGCTATCGCGCGTGCGGTTCTCAAGCATCCGCAGATTATGCTGCTGGATGAGGCGACGGCTTCGCTGGACTCGCAGACTGAGCGTTTGATCCAGGATTCGTTGAAAACTGCTTGTAAAGGGAGGACTACTATTGCTATCGCGTAAGTCTTTGTCTAAAGCGCTTTTTCTTTTGGTGTACTAAATTACTAACATGGGTTTTAGACATCGCTTGTCGACTATTACCGATGCGGACCAGATCATCGTTATGCACCAGGGCCATATTGTTGAGAGAGGGACGCATGAGCAGTTGTTGGCGGTTGGTGGGAGGTACAAGTCAATGTGGGAGAAGCAGACGAAGGCTGTCTCGGCTTGAAGGCGGGCCCATCTGGATCGCGTTTGGGATTTCTTTACATTTCTTCTTTGTTTCGAACCAGTGTCTATTGTTTTACCGTAAAGATGTAATGGTGGCTCTTTGGAGGTCTGGTACCATTGTCGGTCATGTGTAATTGTTCAAGTTTCAAGTTTGAAGCGGTCTCCTTTACTATTTATTGCGCGATGATGAACCACGCTCGTACCCAGAGTGAATTGTGAGAGGGTGCTGCCGGTTCATGTGTATATATGAGGTGGAAACGTATCACAATCGAAGCGCCTATTTGTGTCTTCGCTACCGCACTTTTATACATATCAAAATCACCTACGCTACCCAAATTTTTACGAAATAATTGCGCCGTAACTGCGTCAATATTTATGACTTATATCACTGTCCTCCAACACTGTCGCCGTTAGGCCCTTACCTCCTTGATGTGCCTATGGTACCCAAGCGTCTTACGAAAAAGCCATACGCCTACGACTAAAGCTCCCTCTCAATGGTCGGAAGCATTGAACAGCTCTAATGGAGGGCTGAGAAAGCCGCACGATCTGCAATATTATGCAACTCGGAACGATGTTCTCCACAAGAAGTGTCACGAGCAATGCACGTTGAGAACTGACTTAAGCGCAAAGGTCGGAAGCCGACCTCAAAAAGGTCTAGCCCTACTAAGCGGACTCAGCAGCTTCCCAATGGAAGGCGTCGCTTCCCCTTTCTTCATTCAAGGTTATTCCCTCGAGTGGACTATCTCCAACTTGTCTCCGGAAAGTTTCCGCCAAAGTCTCCGGTGGGGCTGTCGAATCTCGAACTCTGCGACTTCTACTGCGACACGAATCTTCTATACCCTCTTGTATTTGCCGTTGCTCTACTTCTCCAGCCATATCAGCGCTTTTTTCCCTTCGGTTTCACCGCTATTAATCACACCATGTTGTCAATCCCAACGCCCTCGTGGTTGAGGGCCGAGAACCAAGCTACCAGATCGGAAACCCTGTCATGGGCCGTCACGACAATGGCGTGTATGGCCATGTACATTGATACATTCCAGTCAACGATGGTCAATTTCGGGCTTTCCGCCATCATGGAGTCGCTCGACATGACACCCTTCGACGTCAACTGGGTGTTAATTGGCTACAACCTCGCTTTCGCCACCATTCTCCCTATATCTGGTGCCATTGTCGACAAGTACGGACTGCGCTTTGGTTTCCTTTTCGGAACTGGGTTTTTGACCTGGGCGAGTGCGCTATGTGCTGCAACGCCGAACCGATACGGGCTCATTGTTGGGCGGGTGTTTTGTGGCATAGGTGCTGCAATGAGCGTGAGTTGTGTCATGATGTTGAGAGAAGGCTAGAGAGAAGCTAACATACTGTTTGCGATACTTTAGACGGCTACTGGACCTCCCATCATCACTCATCTGTTCGTTGATGAGAAAAAGCGTACGAAAGGACTGTCGCTGCTCATTATGTGTGGACCTCTAGGCATGATTTCCGGCATGATTCTTGGTGCACTCCTCGTCGGTCAGTCGCAATAGCTTCAGCGGTACCAAAAACATTTCTAACTTTCTTGCATAGAATCACCAGCAGGATGGCGTGCACTATTCTGGCTAGTTCTAGCTATGAACGGTTTTCTCTGCATTGTTGGCTTTTTCGTCGTCCCCATGTTCCCCAAGCCTGCCGCCGACCCGACGAAGAAGTTCGACATAGTTGGCCTCGGTTTGATCATCACGGGCCTTCCAATGCTCATCTATGGCATTGATGATGGTGGAAATCGTGGCTGGACCAGTCCCGAAATTCTCGTCACCATCATTTTGGGGGCGCTGCTCGTGATAAGTTTCCCTGTTTATGAGCATCGCATCGACAATCCCATTCTTCCGAAACCTTTCATTTATGATCGCAACATGATGCTCATGCTGTTGACCTTTGTCATATTTGGGGGTGGCTTTGCTACTTGGCTCCTGCTGGTCACGCAAGTCTATTTGAACTGCCTTCACCTATCAGTGATTCGTTCAGCACTCTATCTCTTGGTGAGTTTCGGGCACTTATTTGTTTCGAATGGAGGAGTACCAGACTCTAACAGTGTTGCAGCCAGCAGCAGTTGCATCAACTGTTTCCGGGGCGTTGGGGAATTTCCTCGCCTCTCGCACCTCAGTCCGAGTGCAAATCGGCGGTGCATACATGTGGACAGCTGGATTCCTAGTCCCCTGGGGCCTACTGCAGCTAGATGCCCATCGGGCTTACATTATCTGTTTTGCCCTGCTTTACCTCTTCGGAAATGCACCTGCAGTGGTACGCGCGCAGGAGCGTACTCTTGCTACCATACCCGAGGCGCAGCATGGTCAAGCCACAGCTATGTTGATGGTTGCCTACCAGACCGGTAGCGCAGTTTTACTTGCCTTGGCCAATGCTACTGCGAAGAGTTACACTAAAGATGCAACTGTAGTAAGTTCCTTGATGAATGGTTATCGAGCCAGCTTTTGGTTGCTACTTGGAATCACTGGAGCCGCGGGCCTCGCCTTTGTTGTCTTTTTCCGAACTCCCAAGAATAAGGATATCGGCTCGGATGTTAGTGTTGAAAGCGTAGCAATCGAGAAGGTCTGAGAGAGCATGGATAGACGATTGATGCGAAACCTGTTGATAGTCAAAGTAGAAGAGCAGGCCGACACAGCCTTTCGCAGGTAACATCAAGTGCACGCATCCGCTTGCAGAGAACGTTGAGAGTCTCTGGATCCAAATGAGACTGGGAAGTCCGGTATGGGATGATCAAAAACTTACATTTGTGTGCAATCTGCCATACACATCATTTTTTATCTTAGCTTTAATAATTCGTGGGCGTTCCATGTTCACTCCAATTCATTTAGTCATTACGGAAGATTGCATTCATCACCCGCGGATGCCTCTAGGACCTTCCAAGACTTTTACACAGAACGTCTATACGTAACGCGTCTTCGATATTACTTTCTGCGTCTTCTTTGTGGTTGGCAGACTTGCCAACAATCAACTTAATCAATCCGCGCTTCAAAAGTTAGCTTGATTGATGTTTTTTAAAGAGCTTGCTTGAGTTAAGTTAATTGATGGCATTTTAGGCGTTGATTGATTGCAGATTACTTGCAGATTAATTAGATTGTGTACTGTAAGGCTGCCAATCAAGTGAGAGGTATTGAAGGAACATTCACTCTTCTTAACATGAGGTGGCTGAGAGAACGAAGTTTAGGTGGTCACTTTTGGCGCTTAGTAAGCCAACTACAGCACTAGAGAAGTATTGCATGATCACTAGCCTAGCATTAAATAGATTTATTGAAAACCTTACTAAGTTGCTAATAATATAGCTCTGTGTTATTTAGGGAACAACCTGGTTAATCAAGTCAATCAATCTTCACTCTGTTGCTTGGATTGCTTGCAGTTTTCAATGAGAGCAGCTTGGCTTGATTGAATTGCAATATTGCAATCAAGACAAGCAATTCGGTCAAGCAAGATTGATTGTTGGCAGCTCTGGTGGTTGGGAATATTTTCGCTGGTACAATGCTCGTCATGACCATCAACAACAAAATCGAGCGGCTCTCCCATCTTCCAACTCGCTATCCTCACTACAACTATGTGACGAGAAGTTGTAGATGTGCGAAAGATACTTCTAATTCCAATCTTTACATTCCGTAATCAACACTTCTTTTTTATCTGGATGATTGCGCGAGGATCGATCACAACCCTAATTCCATCTATATACCGGCTTTCAACCTCCTCATGCCCCGGTTTAACACGGATGTCGTAATGTGTCAACAGATAAGCCAATACGACCTTTTCCAAAGCAGAGAAGAAGATGCGGCCCGGACAAGCTCGGCCACCGAACGAAAAGTTGATCTCAGCGTTGCTAGTGGAGACAAGCTGATGCCGAAACTCTTGTCCAGGCTGCTGGCGCATGCGATAAAAACGATAGCCGTCAAACTTATGCGGTTCGGGATAGAATTCGGGTGACATGTTGACGCGATCTGCGCTAACGGCGCATAGTGTACCACACGGAATGCGGGGACCCACTGAGAGTTGCATTCCGTTCGGATTGACAACCTTCCTCATAATAGCCACTATTATCTTTAGTAAGTCTAGAAAGATGCCGGTCAAACCATTGGTAAACTTACTCATGGACGGGGGGTTCAAGCGATGTACCTCTTTCATGAAGCTGTCCATCTTCTTCATGTTGAAGAGGGCGGCCTTACTTAGTCCTTTCGTCGTCTGCATCACCTCCTCATACTCTTCCCACAGTGGGGTCTGGTACTCGGAGTATTTTGCAATATTGAAAAGTGAGTGACTAAGACCTCCGGAGATGTTCATGACCGATTCGAGAATGATCGTGATTTCGTCTCGAGCAAGCTTCTTTGCGGAGGGATTCGGGTACTCTGGAATCATCCAGTCTAGGAGCTCACCACCATCTGAGCTGATGGCAGCTGTTCGTCTAGACTTGGAGTCTCTTCCTGTCGCGAGGTAACGATCTAGATGCTCTTGTACGACTGGTAGCATTAGATCCTCCATGCGGTCGCGCGCCTTCACAAGATTTCGAATACGTGGAATGCGTGACTCAAAGAAGAATCGAACAATAGCAGGTACTGGCCTCAAGCTACCGACTGCACTACTAAGACTCTGGACGTAGTCTGTCATGGCGGCGAACCATTTCGGTTCACGGCTCAGCTCTTTCCCGAGGAATGGCCGGGAGCTCATGATTGCCGCAAGTCGGAAGGTAGCAGGCCAGATCTGATCCACAGTTACCCAATCGTCGCAATTTCCGAAGACTGTTTCGAAGGCGTAAGGCACATCAGCCTCGAAAGATCTGATCACCACGTCGAGGTTGTTGGACATGGCTCTGATCCCCGCTTTGAGCTCTACGTTCTCCTCGCCCTGGTACGTGTACTTTCCCAGAAGGATATCAGCCGTATGAGCTGCGAAGCTTGCAGAGGTCGATGAATAGAGCTCTTTCATTGCCTTTGGTGGAAAGAACACATGCGGCATGGTCGGTAAAGCTATTTGATAGACACCCTCCGGGTACTGTTTCGCAGTTAGTGCATCACATTCGTGCTTAATCGAGAAGATGTGACTGACTGTTTCATCACCATCCCGAACAGCCTTCTCGAAGCTGGCATCGTCTGGCTTACCCATTACGGGTACTCCCCGCACAAGCACCAGGGCCGGTTTCTGGAAATATTGCCATAGCAGCAGTACAACTGAACCGCTGACGGAGATAATGAGCACGATCCATGATGGAGACAAGAGGATGGACAATGTTTCATTGGGCATTTTCGCAAAAGATCCTAACCAAACATCCCTCAATCGTTACTAAGTAACTTTATATCTGATTAGACAAAACTACGTGTGAAGATGTTGCGATGCCAGCGTCGGTGGCCGAGCGCAAAGCTTAGCGCATCCCCAACACAACAGCGGTCTAACCGGAAAGCGACGATCCCCAAACCTCACTAGTCATAGTAACGATAAAATCAGGAATTTAAAACAAAAGACTAACAAGAATTCAAGTCGCTACAAAGATAGTTCCGATGGAGACACAACGCGCACACCTTCTTACAGCGCTGAGGGATCTCCGCACCCTGACCAGCAAAGTCAAAGAGTACTTGGAGGAAACGGCGGAAACCCAGCCCGAACTCGACGATCGCGAATACGAACTGCTCCGCAATGAGTTCCTCGAAAGCGCAAACAATGCGATACTCAGTCTCTCTCACCCCCTCGAATACTGGGCCAACATCCGTGGCGAATGTGCCGACGTTGCCGTATTCCGCTGCGCATGCGAACTAGAACTCTTTCAACGCATCCCGCTCGATGGTTCCAAATCCAGCACCTTGCTTGCCAGTGAGGCTGGCGTAGAGTCTTCGGTATTGACACGCGTAATGCGCCTTCTTCAAGCAAGAGGTTGTTTCCAAGAAGTATCCGAAGGCGACTTCGCCCACACGCGCTTCTCCGCATTCGTGCGAGAGCATCCTCACTTTGCATCCTTTACCCGTACGAGCCTCGAGGTTTTTGGTGCATCTGCAACAAGCCTGGCCGATGCGCTGCTGGCTGCTCCGGGAGACAACGGGGCGAAGACCAGCGCGTTCGAGATCAGATTTGGCGAGGGATGTTATTCTTTTTGGGAGAGACAGCCTAAGAAATTGGCACGATTCCAACATGGACTTCATGAGCCGTTGTTGCTCGGTGAGATCTTGAACGCATACGATTGGGATGGGGTCAAGGGAACGGTGGTGGATGTCGGAGGCGGAGAGGGGCAAGTCGCCAAGTGCTTGGCTGAGGTAAGTCGCGTGGCTTGTCTCACAATGAGATGTTCGCTAACACTTTCTCCGTATAGCGCTTTGAGCACTTGAAATTTTTAGTGCAAGACGTGTTTGTCAAGGAAAGTGTCGTTGCGCAGGTCGCTAGTGCTGGGCTGGCCGACAGGTTGCAATTCGAAGTCCATGACTACTTTACCCCCCAGAAAGCCCTGAAAGAGGGTGCATTCTTTCTCAAACACTGCCTGCACAATAACGGCGATGCGGATTGTGTGCGCATTCTGAAAGCAATCGTACCAGCTCTTGAGCATAGCGGACCAGGAACGCGCCTTATCATCGCCGAAAATGTGCTTCCGGAGTGGGACGATACTAGGCTTCCGAAACAGCAAAGGGTTGATCTGTTGCAAGATGATATCAGCATGCTACAGCTATTCAATGCAAAAAAGAGAACAAAAGAAGATTACCAGGAGCTTCTGGTTCAAGCGGATCCACGGCTGCAGATTGTGGGAGTTCATAGGCCGCCAAGAGGGCAATTGTGCTGCTTAGACGTTCGGATGTCTATGAATTCAGGGAGCGTTACGCCATAAGAGTAGTGCTCAATATATCACATTTACCTGTTTGCACATCTTTATCGATTGCTATTCTCACCATATCAAGTTGGACACGAATGTCGCCCTAAAATAATTCTACAATAATTTTGTGTAAAGACCATCTCGAAATCTTGGCATAAAGATAAGCATTTGTTTCTTCAGATGACGCAGCTTCTAGACCCATCTAGCGGTTCAGCTCGGAATTACTCATCTAGTGATTCTCTTCAGCCGACCACGGACATCTCTTCTCGGACACCGAGATTGTATATTAAGAGATGAACATTCGACGCTACACAGTTCAGCAAAAGAGGAAAGTCCTATCATCATGTATGTCCAAGAGTTCCAAACGACTAAACTATTCATAACTAATCCAATCTAGGCACCTTAGGCTGCAGCACGAGGAGATCGATCGATGGATCAATGATGACATCCGGCCTCTACCTCCCTCGCGACGGCAGTGGACGGCATGGACGTACATCGCTTTCTGGCTAGCATGGCACGTTTCCTTGACCAATTTTACCATGGGCTCCTCCATGGTAGCTCTAGGTCTGTCAGTATGGCAGGTCATGCTAGCCATCATCATCGGACGCCTCATAATCGCAGCCGTAGCCGTCGCAGTAGGCTTCATCGGGGCAGAATGGCACATTGGATTTCCAGTCTATTCGCGCGCGCTGTGGGGAATGCGCGGATCCTACATTCCCATGGTCCAGCGCATCATGTGCGGGATTGTGGGAATCGCCGTGCAGTCCTATCTGGGCGGCATTTGCATCACTGCAATGCTCAGCGCCGTGTTTCCCTCATTTCATCGCATGCAAAACACGCTGCCGCTTTCTGCGAAAATCACCACGCAACAGCTCGTCGGATGGGTTGTTTTCAATCTCCTCTCGGTGCCGTTTCTCTGTGCACGGCTGGAGCGAAAGAGAATTGTACGCGTGTTTGTAGCGCTGAACATTTATTCGTTCTTCACGCTTTTGGCGATCATGATCTGGGCTGTCACTCGCGCGGGTGGTGGCGGACCGCTGTTGTCGCAGGGTCCACTCCCGAACAGTGACGTTGGATGGGGCATCCTCAAGGCCATCACGACTGTCATCGGATCCATTGCAGTGGGACTGATGAGCCAACCGGACTTTACGCGTTTTGCCCGCACACCAGGAGCCCAGGTTACGGGGCAATGGACGTCGATCTTGCTGTTTGGTACGCTTATGCCGCTTTTTGGGTGCATCACTGCATCTGCGACCCAGGCTATTTACGGACAGCCGATCTGGAATCCGACAGAGATAGCCCTACGATGGCTGATGGACGACTACTCGGCAAAAACGCGTGCTGCCAGCTTCTTCGTTGGGTTTGGTCTGATGGCCTGTCAGTTAGTGGTCAATACTTTCGAAAACGGATTCAGCACTGGAATGGACCTTGCCGCTCTTGCGCCCAGATATCTCAACATTCGACGCGGAGCCCTTCTCGCATTGGCGGTGGCCTGTGGCGCGTGTCCGTGGCAGCTCCTGACAAGTGCATCCGTCTTTTTGAATGTCGTTTCTTCATACACCATCATCATTGGTCCAATCCTAGGAATTCAGATCTGCGACTATTTTGTTCTGCGACGTCGTCGCCTCCAGTTATCTGCACTCTACAACGCCGACCCACAGGCGCCATATTGGTACACGCACGGCTTCAATTGGCGAGCCATCTTCGCGTGGGTGGTGACTTGGGCACCTCAATTGCCGGGTTTCATCAACGCCATCAACCCAAGCATTCGTGTAACGTTTGGGGCGGCGAAGCTCTTTGATCTGTCATTCTTGTTCGGCGGTGCGACTGGATTTCTGATCTATCTCGCCGTCAACCTTGCATTTCCGCCTTCAAACCTAGGACAGATTGATGAGGCTGATGTGTTCAACATATTCACTGAGCAAGAAGCCCAGACACATGGTATGAAAGCTGGTATGCGAAGCAAAGTCACGGAAGTACCCTAGCTAGTCCTTGCTTTACCTTGTGCCTGCCTCGAGAAATAAAGACATTAACATGGTTGGCAAGCGAGCGGCGCAGGCAAGCGAGCGGCGCACCCCACTAACTTTCTGCGCCTATTTAAGCGTACACTAGAGCTACGTTAAGAGATAATATATATAAATTTATATAGTAGATTAAGTAGTATCTTAAGTATCTTTCTTGCATGTACGTAAGTTGTAGCTAGTCTCTCTGCACCTTGTGCAGCGTGCTAAAGCCTAGCAGCTAAGGCCTAATTGCGCTTCTTCTTGACGCTCTTTACAAGAAATCTGCTACTTAACCTCGCGTTAAGCGAGTATATTCTGCCTCTTTCCCTTTGTTAAGGTCCCTCGCTTTTGTATACGCTTTTTCTTACGTTGTTTACGCGCTAACGCTGCCTTATTAGCTTGCTTAAAGTTAGTAATCTAATCGCGCATTAGCTTAGCTAAGAGTATTATAACCTTAGCCTCTTTCTTAAGCTAATTAATTGCTTTAATAATAGAGGTAAGCAATAAGCTCTTGTGCTACTAAACGCGATTACGTATTAACGTTAATTAAGCCTTAAGCTCTTGTACGTTGCTTAGCGTACAAGCCTTCTAGAGAGCCTCTAGTAGAGTAGCTAGAGTAGGCGTATAGAGCTGCACGTCTAGCTTTAATAGAACAACGTCTAGCTAGAGAGAAATAAGGCCTGCACCTTAAAAAGCTAAGTAGATATTAGCTAACGTAAAGAATTAATTAAAGGCTGCCTTAAAGGCTAGCAGAAACTTAAGCTTAGTAACATAGTTAATATAGTAGCAGATTAGCGCCTTAATCTTGTAACTATACACGCGCTTTAATAGTAAGAAGCAGCTAACGTTAAGAGGCTATAGTAAGTAGAATAAGTAAGGCGGTATATAGAGTATATAGATATTATTCTTCTTACAAAGCTCTTAAAACTTAAGAGAGTAGTAGCTCTTATAGCTATTAAGAATAAGTAGGTAATACGCACTAATAATATAAGTCTTTATATAAGCGTTAAAGTGCTTTAGCTACTCTACTTCTAGCTTATTATTTATCTAGCTATTATTACTAACTACAATTACCTAGTTACGTAGAATATTCTCCTTTTTATACTAGATAGACAGGTAATACTAGCTAGTAAAGACAAGAAATAGTAGAACTAACTAGCTAGCAGTGTTAATTACAGTAATTACTATTACCTACTTGCAATTATCTAGCTAGATAGCTTTTAGCCTACGTCTCTTCTCTAATACTATTATAATAAGCTAAGTTATAATCTTATCTATTATAAAGCTAGCCTTATTAAAGTTGTAGACGTCTTTATTATAGATGCTATACTTAGCCTTTATCTACTCTACTAGATTAAACTAGCTCTTAATTAGCATAGAATTCTTATATAGAGCTCTCTACCTATTATACACTTAGTTAAAACATATTATAAGACTGTCTATACGCTTAACAAAGTTAGCTAGCTACTTCTATCTAACTTAGCCTACGCCGCGCGTAGCGAGTAGCTTATTAGCTATATTACGTATAGCTGCGTATATAGGCGAAAATCTACGTTAATCTAGATTAAGTATATAGCTAATAATTACCTGCTCTTCTAGCTAGGTAAGCTTTCTTAAGTTAGGCTAGCAATCGCGTTAAGCAAGCGTGCTAGCGCGTCGGCGGCGGAGCGTTGTTTTAGCTACGCTGTACATTACAGCAGCAGCACAGTTACCTCTAAGTTATTCAGCATTAATAGATAAGATAGCAAGTTGAACATCTACTTTATTTAAAGCTAATAGAGTAGCGCTGCGTTAAGGCATTATACGTTGTGATGGGAGAGGTAATCAAAGTTGGTGGGGTGCGCCGCTCGCTTGCTAACTATGTTATACGGAGTTTGTAAATCTAGAATATTTAATCATAATTTCAAATCGTCTTCCTACAGAAACACTAGCCATACATAAACAGGCGATTAATGGAAGGACGGTCAAGCTCTGAGATGTACGCATGAAGGAGACATCCTTCGCGTGTCCTTACAACATGATAACATCTACGCTTCTGGAAAAGAGAAATCGCAGTCACCACTTACCTAATAGTGCACGATTCGCATTGGCAGGTAGATGGCAATATGTCGCCCGCCGTCTGACGAATTCACAGATTCAACGACCACTCATGCTGTGTGTCAAAAGTGATGTTCATCAACCCCAAGTCGCCTATTGGCTACACATTTGCGCGTCGGCTACCGACCTGCCCAAGCTCCCCATCACCAAGATCCAGATCTCGCGCTAGCCAGGGGTCTTGGGACCGCGAAACGCGGGTTCTTTCGAACGCCGTCATATCAACGGCTATTATACTTGCCTGTGCGATTACGAACTCTTGAGGCTGACTTCTTCTTTTCGTGCCTTTCAAATATCTCCATTTCGTTTCAGTCCCCCACCCTCAAACAGACAGAGACAAGACAACTACCACAATGGCGAGTGTATTGACTTCCCTCAACACTCAACTCGAGGATGTGCTTCACACTCTCAAGTCCGATCCTGTGAGCCAGGAGTTACAGAAGGGTCTGCATGACCATGCGAAGGGTGCGCTGCCGGATCCAGAGCTGAAAAGCCTGGCCAATAAATCCATCGACCTGCTGCATCAGATTGAACAGATGCTTGAGCCCGGGTACTTGGTACTTGCAGACCACTTTTTGGGTATGTAAACACCATGTTGTTCTTCCAAATTGCACCGCATCTACCCCGCATTCATGGCTGCAAAGGCGAGCGAGGAATGCGACGTTTTTTTCTTATTTTCCCTTTCCCTGATAGTCCCTTGCGTTACGGCGATGACTGACCAATCCACCCCAGGCTACGTTCACGCCAAATGTCTCGTCGCAGCAGTGGATCTGAGCATTGCCGACACGCTCGAGAAATCCGGACCAATGGATATCGACTCGCTCGCCAGTGCCTGCTCGGCCCGTGGCGACCGTCTCGCGCAGGTGCTGCGTGTGCTGATCAGCAACGGCATCTTCGCGTACAACAAAACGACTAAGAAATACACAAACAATGCCACGTCCAAATTGCTCCTGTCGGACCACTGGACGCAATGGCATCGCTGGGCTACCTTGTACGGAAATCAATTCTACGACATGGCGCGCGGCATCCCGTCGTCGCTGCGCAAAGATGCCAACCGCTCCGCTGCGCAGATCAACTATGATACAGATCTCAACATGTTTGAGTATTTTCGCGGTCAGGGATGGGTGCCGCAGCTGCATGCGACACTTGGTGCAGGTGCTGCAGCCCAGGCGCCTGGCATCCTGGCAGACTATCCTTGGAACGACTTCGACGGCGAAACCATCATGGATATTGGTGGCGGTGGCGGCGGCTTCATCGCAATGCTGTTGCGCGCACACAAGTCTCTCAAGGGCGGCATATTCGATTTGCCCCACGTCATCGAGTATGCGAAACCGCTGTTTCACTCCCAGGGCGGCCAGTTTGCCGACGTCGGCGCGCAGATCCCAGCAGAAAATCTAATCGGTGGGGATTTCTTCGAGAGTATTCCCCCTTCCAAGGTCTACACGATCAAATGGACGCTGCATGACTGGCGCGATGATGATGCTAGGCGCATTTTGCGCAACATCGAGAAGGCGATTGTGCCGGGGGAGCACAGCAAATTGATCATCTTGGAGGAGATCTTGGATACCACGAGGAGCGCGAGGCTATCGAGATATGGTGATATGAACATGATGATCGCAGCAAATGGCGTCGAAAGGACGAGGGATGAGTGGCAAGCGTTGGCGGACAGTGCGGGCTGGGTTATTACCAAGACTTACCCACTTAGAAACGCCTGGCATTGTGCGTTTGATCTGGTGCCCAAGAGTTGGCAGAGATAAGTATCGAGAACAGGCTGTACGAATGGGAAAGAATACATGCGACCGTTATCGCCATCTCAGTGACTCGTTTAACATGTGAAGGGGCCAGTGGTGATCCAATCCCCAGGATAGTCGTCTTGACATGACCCAAGACTCTCATTTCCTTTTGTCTGACTTGGCGCGAGAGTAGAATAGACTAGGTTCAATGCGCTTCTTCCCCTTTGCTCGTCTGCCGCCCACGTAACAGAACGAAACACGTTGGCGTCTCAAAATCAGACTGTCGCACAATTCTCTCGTGCGCTTCTGTAGATGGAACTCGTGAGCCACAACGTAGTATTGTCATCATGCTGATACCGCATTGGTGATATTTCGCGTGCGCTAAGCAAAAAGGGGGTTCTAATAGTTCAGCAATGAGCAATGTGGTAACAAGATAAGCCTGATGTCGGCTTCCGGAACTGAGGTTTCACAAGTTGTGCACATTCCAGCATAATACCCTACGCAGCCAAGATGGCTTGGCAGCCCTGTCATGAAAGAAACCCCAGGCAAAAGCCGTCTTTTCGACGAGTGTGCTTCAAACACGTGCAGTAGATGGTGTGGATGCGACTAGTGTAGTCGAAATCAAGTTTGGAAAGAGCAATGAAGCAGGTTCGAAAGGGCCCAGTAGCGGGTAAAACCGCGATAGAGTTGTTGGAAGACTCTTCGAGCACACTTATCGTAGCATCCCCCTGCAGCTGCATGGAGAGATTCTCGGATCGGAAACAAGACTCATTATTTCAGCCGATTAAAGACAAGAGTTTGGCATAAAAATGACCGACGGCGTCATCGAATCGATCCAGCTGTCGGTCCCCGAAGATCTAAAGACATAGGAACGAACTTGAGTCTCAAGCCCGGAAGCGGCCAGGGGCATTTCCAAGGGTCGATCTCGCCTGTTACCGTAGCATTGGGAACGGATGTAGACGGCAAGGCTCGATATCTATTGCACAACCCCAATCATCATTGAAGATTTGAGTATCAGCACTGGATTGTCTTTTGCACCCATTGCGGCATTTCTTTGCCTTTCCTGCGTCCACCTTCATCTAATTCGCAATGCTTGAATCACCCTCGTCAGAGCGCGCCCTCATTCTCTCCATAATTGCAAAGGCTCTAGGTGTGCCGGTGGAAAGCATCGACACGTCGAAATGCTTCATGGGCCTGGGAGGCCATTCCATATCGGCAGTCGAAGTTCAACACGCATGCAGACTTACTGTCTCGAAGCCGCCAACGGTATTGGCGCTGCTCACATCACCCTCTATTGAAGAGCTGTTGCCAACCGGAGATACCCAGGGCTCGTTTCAAGAAGGTGCGGTAGCGCCAGACAAGTCGTCTAGCACCGTTGTGCAAGTTACAGAATGCGAAGAGCTTTCGTCGTCGGAAGAGTCTGCTGCAAGTCCCGCCTACTCGAGTGTTTCGGAGGAAGATGGTGCGGAGATAGATTTCGACATGGCGCAATCCACACTTTCGCACCAGCCAAGCGAATTAGTGGTTCCATTGCTATACCCAGAAGGAGCGGCGGATGGACAGATACTGGATGCAGATTCGGCACCGGCAACTGATCTGCAAGCTGCTTTCATCCAAAGTGGCCAGAGCACCATTCACTACTTCGAGACATGGCATCTTGAAGACTTGCCTGTCTTGAAATATGCATGGAAGAAGGTCTTAGCCATAGAACCAATCTTCCGGACGGTTTTTCATGAAGCCGGCCCCGGCGCATACACGATGCGCAAGGGAGAGATTGAAATCCCGTGGACGGAAGTGGTGACGTTTGATCGCAAGGCGTACGAGGAAGAATTGACAAGGGTAGAGGCGCAGTCTCAGCCGACTTTCATGTTCAAGAGTGTGGTATACAAGGCGCCGCGAAGCAGCAATGGCAGGCGTAGTGACAGTGAAGCCAGTATCGTGCTTTCCATCCACCATGCGCTCTTGGACGGGTTCGCCATGGAGCGGTTGGCTGACAAGGTCCGGCGGATAGCAGTGGGAGAGACAGGGGTAGAAGCAGGGAAGTCGTTCTTGTCGATAGCGCGAGAGCTCGAGATGGTGAAGAGGGAGCATGGAGCAGCGGCGACAGAGTATTGGAGCAAGCGTGTGCAAGGCCATCTGGGAGCGGCTACCGGTCCAGGTTTGCGAAGACCAATGCAAGAAGAGGGAAGAAGAGGTGGACAGCATGTTCGCCACGAAGTCAACGTGGACTTTGAATACGTGGGCGAGCGGTTGCAGGAAAGGTCCAAGGAACTGGGCGTGACAGTGGCCGCGTTCTTCCACACGGCATGGGCAGTTGTGCAGGCCATGTATGCCGACAGCAGTCACGTAGTCTTTGGAACCATCATGAGCGGGCGAAACATAGCCATGGATGGCGTCGACACGGTCATTGGGCCACTGCTCAACTCGCTGCCGATTCACGTGAGCGTGAATGAGGAGATGACAACGGACGAGATGGTGCAAGGCGTCTTCAGCGATCTCGTCGAGCTCTCGTGTTATCAATGGAGCACGCCCGAGCACGGCTTCCAGCGCGACTTCGAGGCAGCCCTGTCGGTCACGCGTGGGCTCGACAGCGCGCGGTCACGTGACGTCATGTGCCCCATCCGGCCGGTCCGATACGACTTCGAGAGCAGCATCCCGTTGAGCTTGGCGCTGGACGAAGCGGCCATGACGCTGCGTGCCGTATACCATGCTGACAAATACGCACCCTCGGCAGTCGAGGACATGGCTGCATGTCTCGTGAGCGCGCTGGAACGACTGGCCCAACCGACACGGATGCGGGAATGCATTGATGGCGTCTTGACAGTGCCCATGCAGGGGCGACTGCGTAGGTGGGGGAACTGCGTATCCGGATGCACGACGCGTGCCGCCCACCAGCGGGAGGATCTGGTGTCTGTGTTCGAGGCCGCGGCGCGCGAGCACGCAGAGGGCGTAGCTGTGGAGGTGGGCACCACATGCGTCACGTATGCTGAGCTCGACCGGTTGGCTTCGCGCACTGCCGAGACGCTCAGGCAGCTTGGAGTCGATGGTCAGGTCGTGTGCGTGCATGCCGACGGCAGCCTGGAATGGATCGTAGGCCTATTGGGTGCGTTGAAGGCAGAGGCGACATTCTGCAGTCTCGACGTGACACTGCCGCATGAGCTGCGCAGCGACATGTTTCGAGCTTCGGGGAGTCGTGTCTTTGTCGTCGGGCAGGAATGGCAGAGGAAATTTGTCCCCGACGATTGCGTCCACTGCCTCGTACAGGAACCCATGTTTATGTCAGCACCAGCGCCAGTCACAGCGGCAGATGCGCCCGAGCAGCTTGCTAGCCGGAAACGGCGCCCGCTGGCGCCGGCCTACCTCTGCTTCACATCCGGCTCGACCGGCAAGCCCAAGGGCGTCCTTTGCACACACCAGGCCCTCGTTGCCTTTCAAACCGACGTCGAAGTGCGACTCCATGCTGCGCCCGGCGTTCGAATCGCCCAATTCATGTCACCCGCCTTCGATGGCAGCATCCACGAGACTTTCTCCGCCCTCAGCTATGGCGCCACACTGGTTTTGCGCCCCACTGCCTCCGCGGCAGACCCCTTCGACGTGCTCCATCGCGTCAGCAGCGCTATCATGACGCCATCAGTGGCGCAGTCTCTGCTCCCCACCGACTTTGATAATCTCGAGACAGTCTACCTTGTCGGCGAACAAGTTCCCCAGACGGTCGTCGATCAATGGGCACCCGGCCGCAAGCTATACAACATGTATGGCCCCACGGAAGGAACCGGTGGCGCCACAATCACGCGCCTCTACCCGCGCCGGCCCGTCACCATCGGCCGCCCCAACCCAACTTCCCGTCTCTATATTCTCGGGAGGGACCGTCGTCTCCTTCCCCCCGGTGCGGTCGGCGAAATCCACATCGCAGGTGTGCAGGTGGCTATTGGCTATGCAAACTTGCCCGTTGAGACGGCTGCGCGCTTCGTCCCCGACACGCTGAGTCCAGGCCTTGGCGAGTACATGTATCGCACCGGTGATTACGGCTACTGGGACCACAAAGGTGACGTCGTATGTCTGGGTCGTAGGGACCGTCAGCTCAAATTGCGCGGCTTTAGGCTCGACCTGGATGATCTCGAGACACGCATTGTCAAGGCTTTGCCCGATATCAAGGCTGTGGCTCTTACAAAGTCTGCCAGGGGAGATAGCTTGGTCGCCATGGTCCAGCCAGCCAGTCTTGCTCAAGACACCGTCAGAGACGTCCTGTTAAAGGTGTTACCGAGAGCTGCCGTACCGTCTGCCATTGCCTGCGTCGATACATTCCCCTTGACAAGAGCCGGCAAGGTTGATGCACAGGCCATCACAGCTACCCTCGCAGCGCATTAGCTCAGCCGCGTTGAAACCCATGCTAAGCTAGCCCACCCGGTTTCGAGTCACCCGGGGTTTCAACTCACTGACTCGAACCACCCATCCACATAGAAAATCAAGTTTATTCTTTCAACACCATTATATTTGCCACTCTGTACACATGGACTGAAGCGTTTGAGCTGCTGTTTCGGCTGCTACTCTCTCTGCAGCCCTTTCCTCAGCGTTGCTATCTCGTTGTGCCTCAAGAAGCTGTGAGGCTTGTACAGCAACCATAATTGTATCTATCTCTGCAAAGCGCTCATTTGGATTTACACGAACTTTCTTTCGAGGCTGCTGAGGCTTAAGAGCCTCAAGTTGACTATGAAGTCTTTTATTCTCTGTTTCAAGCTGTGTTGCACGTATATTTGCTGCTCCAAGTGCCTTGCCAACTTTTTCAAAGAACTGATGAGTCTTGCGCCCGAGATTCTCATCCTTGTGAAGCTGTCGCTGCGCTACAAAAACCTCACGAGGTCCGTGAGGGGTAGAGAGATAACTCTGAGCAGGTTGAGGTTGATTCTGACGAGGTGGCGTGATAGGCCTTTGAGATATCTGAGATGAGTTGACTACCCGGTCAATATTGAATGGACAGATGCCAGCAGTAGCCCATCCTGCTCGTATAACTCTCTCAGTAATTGCGCGCTCTCGTGCGTGATAATAAGCTGTGATAAAGCGCTCTTTTTTAACAGGCGCTGCGTCGTTAAGGTACGAGAGGGCCTAGATTTGCTGCCAGTAGAACCTCTTCACGACGGAGAATACTGAGAGGTCTAGAGGCTGTAGGACATGAGAAGAATGAGCAGGTAGAAACAGAAGATAAACTTTGTTCTGTTTGCAAGCCCATAGGAAATCCAGGCTGATGTGGCTGCCGTGGCCATCTAGGATCAGCATCCTCCAACGATCGTCTAATGGAGCTGTCTCGGGCAGGAATACCCGCTGCAACCACTTAGCGCCTATTTTGTTTGATGTCCAGCCATCCTCTGAGGTTGTGTAAAGCTATTCAGGAATTATCGCAGGAAACTAAGTGCTCTGTAGGCTCTTCTCTTTGAATATAACTAAACAGCGCGGTTTCTTGCTGTGAACAGTCTGTAGGCACTGTATTCTAGCTACCTAACCTAGATGCTATTTATAGTTAAGATAAGGGAAAAGAGAGAAGATAGTTGCCATCTCTTGTGTTTGTGTTTGCGCACGGTCCACGCGCTGCTGAGGCAAGGTGAGGGACCGCTGGCGGGGCAAGGTGGGGTAAAGAAGGTGGGGGACAGAAGGGAAGGAAGCGACTAGGCCAGCAGCCTAGTCATGTGACCTCGGGCTCAGCCCGTTACACTTGCCTGTAGCCGACACGCACTCGATTATTGATGCCCACTCGCGGTTCTCTGGAGACTGATGGTAAGCCTTCTTCTTCTGACTAGATGCGAGCACTCTAGTGTTAGCACACACACCTAAGGCCTTCCCAGTCTCATCCATATTCCATATATCCTCAGCTCTTCTGCCTAGCCTCGTACGAGTCCTCTCAAAGAGCTCAAGGAACGCGCGTACAGAGATGTCAACAATCAGTTCAAGCCGGCTTGATTGTTATCGATAAGTGTGATCAGACTATTCTCGGGGACGTGTCCTCGGGCACGGATATCTTCCTGGTCTGATCACACTTATCGATAACAATCAAGCCGGCTTGAACTGATTGTTGACATCTCTGCGCGCGTATCTGTACCGGCGTTGCTCCCTCAGCTCGAGCAGCCTCAATCTTTCGACCCACAACAGATGCGACGCGTGGGTTACGCTTAAGGGAGGTGTCAGCCACCGTGTGGGCCTCAGGGTACATGACCCAGGTTCCATCCCATCTCTCACTCACTCCAGGCTAGTACGTGCGAGGCTTACAGTACTAGGTCAAAAGTTTCCGCCGCCAAGCTACACTAGCGCAAAATCAACATGCTCACCCCAAACTTCATAAGGCTTTAAATACTGCTAAACATGTCAGATTTTAATAATTTTGAGTGTTTTAGTGTCGCATTGATCTAATATTTCGTTTGCCACCCTCGCGCTTTGCGTACGGCAGCGAGGCGTCGTGGCATTGACATGATAAGTCGCTTGATAAGCTTCGTCGGTATGCCGCGCCAGCACTCCTTCAGCGCCTCACAAAACCCATCCCACTCCTCTTGTGCTTGGCTAAGGTTGCTGTATTGTGGGTAGAGCTTATACATGCGTCTCTTAAGCACCCACCAAAGGTGTTCAATTGGGTTGAGATCGGGTGAGTATGCTGGCTATTTGATGCAGTTGATGTAGTGCTCACGATGGAAAGCAGCTACTGCTCTTGAGCGGTGTATACCCGCGTTATCCTGCATAAACAGCTCGGAACGACGCCAATGTGGGAGGAGACCTTTTGCCAACGCTTTCATGTAACTTTGGGCGGAGTAGCCACGCTTTTTAGCATCAGGATCACGTTCCATTATGATTAGCTTGCTCCTCCGCGCGCGGCAGCGTTTATCAAGCCACACACACACGCCCACACCATCTGTGCTGGCTTAAGGCTTTTACTAGTAGGATCTAGCATCTCAGGTTTCCATCTCTCCCAAGGGTAGCGAGAGCACCACTCCTGGTTGGCGCCAGATCCCTTCTGAACAGAGCACTCATCTGAGAACTTAAGCGTGCGCCGTACCCACACGAAGTGTCGGTACTCGTGAGCGAACTTCAAGCGCAGCAAGGCATGCGCGCGGGTGAAATTTGGACGCTTTTTTGCCTTATAATTAGTGAGGCCATGTCGCTTTAATGCCCGGTATAATGTGCTGCGGCTGGGTGGCTTTGAAGGGGTGCCCTCCGCGTTCACGAAGATAGCCTCTTTAGAGAGCTGTGAGTACTCTATCTTTGGAGCAGCGCGAACTTTTCTAAAGAGGATTTTTTTCTGCTGCTTCGATAGAACAGGTGGCCGGCCGCTGCGAGGTTTGTCTTGAACGCTGCCTGTTTGACGGTACTTGAGGCGTAGGTCGCGGATGGCGCGTTCCGACCTCTGTATCGCCGCTGCGACTTCCTGCACCGTCATCCCACCCTGCAGCATCCCAATGCACCGATCGCGCGTTGCAGGACTAATATTTCGACGTCTGCGCACATTTTGATCCAACTCTTGTCCAAATGGGCGTGGCGTAGCCATAGTTGTGACGCATTGAAATTGAGGGGTCGATGTTGTTGATGGAAGCTGGTCGCTAGCGCGGCAGAAACTTTTGACGCGTGACTGTAGCGCCCACAACGCTAGCCGGCAGAGATATATAAATCTCAGTCCCCGTAGCACAATACAACACGATTCACCACATGTTCTATCCCAGTGCCACTAACAGAAGGCAGCCATCCAATGCTTGCCTAAAGGTCTGTGGTCTCCATTCATCCGGAGGATTCGATTCGCCATTTCTCGTGCGCGTGCGTGGGAGGGAGGAAAAGCTCGTGCGTCTTCTTCGAGTATCCATTGTACGAGGAAGTCCTCCTGTTCTGGAGTCTATCTTTGTTGGTATACGTGGCTGGTTTGGCTGTTCCGCGCGCCTCGTACACGGGCCGAGAAAGTAGCTTGAGGGAGGTTGTAGGCCTTTGCAGCAGCTCTCTGACTCGGAAAAACACCAGCATTAAGATCGCGGATAGCTGCTTGAATAGATTCTTCACGGGTGTCCATTTGCGCAGCGTGGGTGGCGAGAAAAGTCGTGTTTTGGAGAGGGTGCTGAGCGGCGATAGGGTGAGTTGAAACCCCGGGTGACTCGAAACCGGGTGGGCTAGCTTATCGAGTTTTCGGCTCCCAAGACCCAATGTATTGAAACTTTATTCGCGTCAGTTTCTTCTGTAAATAGACTGCTTCAGAAAGATAATATCTAATTCTCATCACCTATTAAATGAGCATAGCGATGGGCTGACTGTGCGCCCAAGGTGGTTAGAGCCCCGTCACCTCACCCAAACACTGACATGTCGATTGGTGAGAAAAAGGCACTTCTAAGCCACTTAGGTACTCGATCGTATATTCTGTACCCATCGGAGCCCGGGTCTTGCAATTCTGGCTCCTGTGCACTGTCATAGCGTCGTGTTATCAGTTTGCTTTCAATTTTTCTATTATTTTTATCGTCTATGGTGGTACTGGCGCTGCTCCTGCAGCTCGAAACATCTCTACTTTTGACGAGATTCTCTTCTCTAGCTCTGTCGCCATGCCTGCGCAAGTAGCTCGACACGACGCCGAGGACAGCAACGCCACGGCTTCACACAACTTGCCCACAGCTCGTTGCATTTCCGATAGCCGGTTCGTCATCAGCGTGCGCAGCAAAATCTGGCGGTCCAGTCCCCTCACTGCATAGCTCCCGCACCGCATCGGCAGTTCATCTTTGGCCAGATTACTGAGGAGCGAGCACCGATCTTGCTCGCATGATCCGCTTCCTTCTATCCACAGCGTGCCCATGCCGAGCATCACACTCAACTCATCCATGGCCTGGCAGAGCACCAACGCCGACGACATGCGCGTACTGCAAGACGGGCACGAAAGGACGACGAAGCAGTGATCCAGCAGCACCCTAGAGCGCTGCACCGCACTCGCGAAGAACGCCCCATCGTCGCGCCCGCTCCCCACACATGTATCGGTAACCGACAACTCCCCGAGGTGCTGCAACAGCGTCGCCGTGCACTGGCAGCCCTGAGGCACCTTGGTAATCGATGTGCATCCCTGGACTACGGCGAGCGAGGCTTGCGGGAATGCGTGCATTTCGAGAGGCGCGCTATCGCGAAGTGGGGTCATGAGAACTTCAAAGTCCATTTGATCGTTGATGAAGGCGTTGTCTGGAAAAAAGAAGTCGGGGTATTGGCTTGGGTCGAGATCGCTGAAGAGGTTGGTCGTCTGGTCCATCTCGAGATCTTGGGAGAAATGCGAGGTCTGACCATTGTTGATCACGTTGATGTCGTCGTTATAGTCGTTACTGCCGTTGCTGATGCTATCTTGTGCTTGTCCGCGTATAGGATCGCCGTTCACTGGGTGGTAGTGGTTGCTGGTCTGAGAGTCGTTCTCTGCAAAGATACTAGTCTCTTGATTCCGACTCGAGTCAGGCTGCGAGCCGTCCGGGGACGGATCATGGTATTGTCGTCTTCCCAAATCGGCATCTTGCGTCCCGCTTCGTACTGTGGCTTCTACTGCAGTCAAAGTAGTTTCTCGTGGTGGTGAGGCGAGAGGCCTACGTCCATCCTGGGACGGAGACGTTTCCGTCGGCGTCGGCAGCAGCGTCTGCTGATGTTGGGACGACTGTGATTGGGTGGGTGATGGTGGAGCAGGCGTCGTGGAGTCTACTGTCCGCTTTGGTCGAGGACGCCCGGCACGTCGAGATGCACTATACACACATTCAATGTTGTATTTGGCGCATCGGCGACAGCTGGGTCGTTCTTGACCGCAGCGAATCTTTGATGTTTGACAAGTATCACAAGACTGACGAACTTTGGGCACCCTTGGAGTTTGGCTGTTTCGTTGGCTGGACATGACACAATTTCAGGGTCCAATGGCGTTTCCTGCGGACGACTCCAAACTCAATCACAAAGAGACAGAAGCAAGTATACTAATGAAAAGCGGAGTGAGCCCGGAACATTTTGTGAACATTCTGATCTGGCAATCTTGGCGCCTCTCTCGGCTCTTCTCCATGGAACCCGCGTAATCACGGGAACACCCTCAGCGTGGGTGCAGGTACGCGGGTCCTCAAGCTGACGAGGCTGTCAGGATCTACTTGTTTGAGGCTAATCATTTCGGGACCTGCTGCTTAAATTCCTGCAGCTCCTGCATCTTAGCGCGGACGAGATCCTGGTATGCAGCCGTGTGCGCCGACCTGGTCCTGGTGAGAGCACTCTCAAGTCGGGCCATGACTTGTACAAAGTGCCGGAGTTGAAGCTGCATGAGTTTCCGGCTTAGCATTTCGGCATCCGCCCGATCCAGGTGGATATCTCCGAGAGATACGGTGTGGTCGAGACCTGCTCCAAGCCCTGTCCCACGTACCCATTCAATCACGGTGGCGCTGACAACCGTAACACTGGCCAGCGAGAATCGCCGCTGGCAACATGCCGCGCAGTTGAGAACGGCATAGCACCGAGTTTCTGCATCCTCCATCACTTCCAGCAATGTCTCCAACCCCACTTTGACATCTCCGAGTTGTTCGATGCGCATCAGGACGCGAATCGCTGATAGCGTGCAAGCGCAATTGATGGGGTAGATTGTCTCCATTCTCTCTTTGCCTTCCTCTTCTGAAGTGCTCCGCGTGTTAGCTTCGAATCGGAGATCGGTAGAATTGAGAGCATATACCTAGGTGCCTTCGTCTTTCAGCGGCCCGAATTCTGCAGAGTGAATTGGTTCAAACCAACTCCTTATATGTCATCCATAGCATTCCTCGGCCACCGAGAGCCTTTGGTGACAGGTAAACAAAAGCGACCAGCGTTGATCATCTGTACCACATCTTTTACTAGGCTTTATATTTCGTGTCGTGTATTCTAAGTTCTTCTAGGTCCACCAAAGTGCCGAGGCTAGCTCCTCATCCTCATAGAAGACGATGCATCTCACTTCCATACTTTCCCTCAAGGGGGCATCCTTAGCCGAACCCGGATGCTCAAAAGCACAATGAGCACAGGCTGTATCAAAGAGTCAGTCAAGGACGATCACTAGACGAAAATAACCAGCCAGCCCGGGACGACTGGGATCGCTGAAATTCTGGGATAGGCTCACCTTTTCCAGTGACCGCCGGTTTATTATCCCAGATCTTAATGAAGGTAACCTCGCTGTTCTGCTGCGCGTCGAGATAATACCACCGTTGATCTTCATGATGCGAAACGTTGCAAGACTGACCCCGCAGCTCGAACCGGTTACGATACAAGTTTGTGGGATGGTAGTTTCCAGGCTTCAGGCTAGTGAAGTCCATGGTAGCAAGCGGCCAGTCTTGCACAGGGCCATTGAGGGGCCTCCACACGCTGTGCGAAGCCGATCAGCTGCTACATCCTGAATGCTAAATAGAATTCGTACGTACTTTATGATCTGCACACGACCCTTGAGCAGGCGATCTGACTCGTAGCCAAGATGCTGGTGGACGCGACGTGCAGCCCCTACCGGGCCCCTGGACCTCTCGTCAGCATCGCCCTCTCTTATTAAGTAATTACGTTCTCAAAGAGATAGTTACTTACTGGTCGATGTGTACGTAAGCTGCGGGTTGCTCTCGACCATCAGGGTTCTTGCCCGCCAACGAGGGGTCACGACGGCGCATGGTATGGTCGAATATGACGACTCGCGAGGCCCCAGTGTGTTTCATGATCAGGCCCTGAAGGTGCTCATAATAGCGCTCTTTAGCGCCGTGTTCATTGGTCCGAAGTTGGTCGACGAACGCCGCCCCTTCAGCATCGTCTGCGTAGGCGAAGCCGTGCGTATCGAGATGAAACTGGTCTTTGATAGGGCGGGAGTCCTTCACCTGCACTGTCTTGGCCTTATAGGAAAAGTTGCAGGATTCGAAGCCTTCATCGGGTTGAGAGCGATAGAAGGGCTCTTCGGCCATTGGGGCCATGAACTGCATCGTTGCTGTCGTCGACATGATGAAAAGCTCCTGAGAAACGTGAATGAAACTGCTTCAAGCTCTGTGTTGTGCAAAAGAATTGCGACATGCTTTTGAACACAAATCAGGCGATTGGATGCGTCGACGCCCGATATTGTCGCTCTCCGAGGCATCAATAGTAACGACACAAAAGAGGCTACAGCCCAGCACAGCCCTGCTGTACGATTTCAACAACGCCAAAATGTCAGACTGCTTCGACGTTCTCATCATTGGAGGTGGCCTCGCTGGGTTGAGCACTGCGTTGAGTCTGGTGCGCTCGCTTCACACAGCCGTTGTGTTTGACTCTCGGGCCTACCGCAACCGTAAAGCAAACTGGCTGCACACTCTTCCCGGCTGGGATGGTCGTGATCCTGAGGAGTACCGTGCCGCTGCCCGACAAAACATTCTTTCCAAATACAACACGGTCCAATTCGCGACTGGAGTCGTGATTGAAAATGTTATTCGCGATGCCGATGCCGAGTTTCCCTTTACAGCTACCGACTCGAAGGGGCGTATTTGGCGAGGTCGCAAGCTCGTGCTAGCCATGGGCATTCAGGACGTGCCAGTCGACGTTCCGGGATATAACGACTGTTGGGCTAAGGGAATGTACGTGTCTTTGTTCCGCTCATTTCAGTTCTTCGGCTGATCATTCTCATAGATTTCATTGCCTTGTGCATCGTGGCTATGAAGAACGTGGCTGTGCGTCAGCGGGCGTTTTAGCTGCGGGCGGTGATGACAATCTCAAGGCAGCCCGTCATCTCTCGCTGCAGTGCCGTCGTTATACTTCTGGGCCCGTTACCGTTTACACTCACGGAAACCAGGAACTGGCGGCGGAATGCCGAGAAGCTTTGGGTCCCCTTGGGTTCCGTGTAGATGCTCGGAGAATTGTGCGCTTTATCAAGGAGCCCACTCAGGCCCAGGTTACCGCCGTTTTCGAAGACGACGAGAAGATGACTGAAGGGTTCATCATTCACAGACCGTTACCTCTGAACAACGGCGCTTTTGCGAAACAACTGGGCGTTGAGACAAACGATTTTGGCTTCTATAAGACCAACCCGCCTTTCTTCGAGACGTCGGTGCCCGGCATATTTGCGGCGGGAGATTGTGGCGATCCATTCAAAATTGGCACGTTCGCTGTTTCAATGGGCGCTTTTGTTGCAGGCGGCCTGCAAATGCAGCTTGATGCTGGAAGTGGGGGTGCACTAGGCCCGGCCTATCAAATTGTCAAGCAGAACTAGAAAGATTGATCATTTCCTCAAAACGTTTCCTAACTACTTGCGAAGAAAAGCCATGTATCGATTCTTGTAACTATCAGTAGAAATGGCCGAAGAGTTTTGATACCATGCTGCTATTGCCGTTCGTTGCGAGCATACCCGCCCAAAGCATTTCTCCAATCCAAGGCCTCAAGCAGAAGCTGAACCATGCAATAGTCCAAATGAACCCAATCGCAATCGTGGATCCTAAAATTGCGTATGTGAGCGGGGGTTTTGTTGGAATTACGGCAAAACAACGTACTTGACTTTTTGATCCCAACCTGTTTCCCCAATGTGATGACACAGTCTTCCACTATAATCGCGGAAGCTTGCGAAAAAAACATGCGCATATCGCCGAACGTGCCTCGCGTAGCGCTATATGCACCAACTGAGTGAATTGCCCCTGACACGGCGAATGAGAGGACTAGGCGAGTATATTTCGCAACCAAATCGTGAATGCCGACAATAGAGACGACGTGGTTGGGTATAACCAATATGGCCTATTTCCAGTCAGCTGCCAAGAATCTACCACTGTCTTAGTGCGTGTGGCCTGACCTTCCTCATCATCTGCTGCCAGCAAACCGACCACAAATTGCTGACTGTATACATCTGGGAAAACGAGCCGAAGAGAGGGGGACACTGAAATGGTGCGCAGATACCGAGCAAAACTAGCAAAGATGTGACCAGCCTGTACATGAAGCTCATGTTGTATTGTGTGTAAAGTGTGGCAATCCATATCACAGCGACTTGGATATGCAGCGGTGAATTTTGGATGTGTTGACGCTCGATAATCCGAGTGAATGGCGTCATCTCAAGAAGACATAGCAAAATCTGGCTCGTACACCAGCAGTACGCTCCACGCTTCATATTGTCGATTAGAAAGTTTCTACACCCGTTAGTACCAGGATATCCTCCAATAGCTCGATTCTCTAGAAAATACCTTCGGTCCAAAAGGTGTTCAGGCAGCCTCGGCGAACGCTTAGACTCCCAGTTCCATCCTGGACCACGCCAAGTCGTCCATAAATCGTAACTCCAAGCTAGTTTCTTAGAGAAAGATCGGTGAGATACAGGAACATTCTGCTCCCATTTTCGGAATAGGTCTTTTTCGAAGTTTTTTGTGACCCCAAAATCAATCCACATTAATGTGGACGCGACTAACATTGTCATATTCTGACAATCTGAGTCGATTCCTCCGGTCATGTGAAGAAACCCCCACAGGTAGGCTAGCACAATAACTGTAACAACGACTCTGCGCAAGGCGTGTGACCGGATAAGAATAGAGCCTACCAGGACTAGGTAAAACGAAGGAATAAAAAAACCCGGCATGGGAATGCGCTCGTCTAGATCCGGGAGCTGAAATACGGATGAAAACATCTTTTAGGCTGAATGAATATCTCGATAGGAGGGTAATGGTCTCGTCTAGCTGCGATCGCGTAGAACAACTATCTGCACATTTAAGGGAAACGACCCACACGGACGGCTACCGACCGACGAAGGAAATGCGCCAAACAAACATCTTTTTGTAACGACCACGAATGTTGTGTTGTTTCACAAGCTGGGAAATAATAAAAGGCATTGTCCATCCCCTCTCGTTGCGATCACACGAACTTTATTGATAAAGGCAGCCTGCCGAGCTTCCGGGCCACCACAGTTAAGAAATGTCATCTAAGAGACATGCTCGAGTATTCTTAACTTCCCAGCATCACATTTATGCCTCCATCCTGCGACTGTTCCAAATTCAACGTCTTCACCCCGAAAAACACCCGTCAAAGGCGTAAGCTGGCTGAACTGGGCAGCGCTGTTGTAAACCTCAGCTAGCATCTTCGATCCGATTCCACAGCCCTGAAAATCGACATGCACGTAGTAAAAAACGAGAGAAGTTGCACCTTCATCAACCGATGTTTCGATAGCATTTTGGACAGCTTCGAAACGAGTGTGAACTTCTGCCGTTTGTGTGTCTGGCCATACTGTAAGGTCGGATAGGGCAGAGTGCAACTTTAGTAAAGAGAAGTCGGTATCTGTTGGAAGAGTCAGACCGAAAGAACATTGGAATTCAGAGAGGAGTATTACATGATGGCTCGGCTGACGATGGACGAGATGTAGAGATGCCTAGGCACAGGATGGCACAGCCGATAACGCGACCAGGCACTTTTTTGAACGAGTTAACTGGACGGAACTCGAGTACAAGCACCAGTGACTTCTTATCCAACAGCAAGCGGGGTAAACGCCATTGGAGATAGGCCGTAATTTCGTCCTGACTGAAAGTCAGACCTGCTGTATCGAGTGAACCGCTGCTAAAGGGCTCGGCGATTATAGTGACCAGCTGTGACAGGTCAGCTCGCGTGGCTGCGCGGAGATGGTACATGTTGTCTTCCATGTTCGCGATGCTGGTCTCAACTTTCTTGCTCCTGCGAATCACGTAAATCTTAGTGAACGCAGTCAGCGCTTTATATTTAAGTGTCGGCAACCGACATGAAGCCTTAACACATTAACCATAGCCAACGTCCTCGCAGCAAGCGACCGACATAAAGCATCTCCTGATGCTGCAATTCTTCCGCTCATTTCGCCCCCTCATCCATCCAGCAAACCGCCTGCCATACCATACCTCCGCTATGTCTACTGTCGATGTTCTTATCGTTGGTGGTGGGCCCGCTGGCCTTTCTGCAGCCACTGCTCTTAGCCGATTGATGCACCCATGCATTGTTTTCGACCACGGAGTATACCGCAACTCTCGTGCCCCTCACATGCACAACGTGCCAACTTGGGATCACAAAAACCCAGAGGACTTCCGCGAAGCTGCGCGCAAGGATCTCACCGATCGATACAACACTACCAGTTTCGTCCGTGCCAAGGTCGAAAAGCTCACGAAACTGCCAGACGGCAGCTTCGAGGCCTTGGACAGCGATGGGAGGATTTACAAAGGGAAAAAGGTTGTTCTAGCGACCGGTGTCCAGGATTTGTATCCAGACATCGCAGGTTACGATGACTGCTGGGGTCGTGGAATGTAAGTTTGAAGTCGCAACACCTTTTCCTTTGACCTGTCGCATTAATGTAACGACAGTTACCACTGCCTATTTTGCCATGGATACGAAGAGCGCGGCGCTACTCAGGCCGGCGTACTTGCTGTCGAAGACATGGCAGACATGATGCATTCAACTGCAGTGGGCTGCATGGCCCAGAGATTAGCCAAGAAGGTTGTGGTGCTGACAAATGGCAACACAGCTTTGTCCGAGGAGATACAAGCGGCTTGCACAGAAAAGGGACTGGTCGTTGATCCGAGAAGGATCGTTCGATTCAACAAGGTACTGGGGAACACGGCCGACGTCAAAATTGAATTCGAGGATGGGGCTGAGGAGGTGTTCGGTTTCATTGCGCACAAACCACGAAGTAAGTTAAACGGGCCGTGGGCGGACCAGCTCGGCGTGGAGCTGACCCCCGGGCTGGACTTGAAGGTGAACCCACCTTTCAACGAGACCAGCATTCCTGGTGTTTTTGCTGCGGGAGATTGTGCCAGCCCATTTAAGGTGGTCGCGGGGGGCATTTCAATGGGACTGTTTGCAGCTAATGGTGCCGCCATGCAGGTGCAACAAAGCAAATGACGATCCGTTAGATGCGGTCGGACAGGGACAGTCGAATCTAGAAATTCTCGCCATCGGAATTGACTGCCAGTCTTGTGATAACAATTCAAGCGGCGGGCGAGTAGCTTATTTGTTTGATGGGTGAAAAACATATGATTTAGTGATCAACGATTGGTGTCATGACCTTGAGCTAGAATGGACGACGCTCCGCATGACATTCATAGAAGCTTCTGACAACATAGCACTATACTCTAAATACTCTACTAGGATATCTCCAAGGAGATACTTGACAATTCCCAAAGTATTGGGTGGTTCCGGACAACAAGAGGACCAATTGCAGAGCACGGTAGTCCACAACATAGTGCAGAACTTTTACTCAGCAGTAGTCACTAAGCTTTCAGGATGGAGAAAGGATTGTACAACGCTCGTGGTCGTTCGGAAAATAAGTTCCGGAGATGCCGCAACCGTGGTGCGCTATCGGTACTAACTCGGTGCCCGATACTGGACCGGAGTGCCGCGATTGCCTTGGTATTCTGATCTCGGAGACGACCCCGGACGAGAGCGAGACACAGATCCCGACACCCTCACCGCTCAACGTTTTATACTAATGCAATGCCCCTGTAGCAATACGTCGCTAGTCTGTCATCCAGAAGTAGTACTTCGTTGAGATCCTTGGATGTAACCCCGAATTTCGACGTTGGTGCACGACGCATGGATGTCTAGCGTGAGGTACCTAGATACCTTGGTTGGCACCTTTAGTTCATCTCGGTTACCGACAACATCAAAACATAATACTCGCAGTAGATGTCTCCATCCGACCACTCTATCCAACCATCCTCGCCGCATCAATGGCCACCAATAATGTTGTCTGGTACTTTGCCTACGGCTCAAATATGAGTAGCTCCAAATTCACCGGTTCCCGTGGCATCCATCCGATCAAGATCGCCCGCGCAAGAATTCCCGGCTGGACCCTTACGACCGAAATTCCTGGCACGCCCTACTCGGAACCTGCATATACGTCTATCCGTCCAATTACAGGGACTGACGATCCCAAGACCCGCGAAGTACTAGGAGTCGCGTATCTCATCACTGACGAGCAATACGTGCATCTCGTTGCGTCGGAAGGCGGTGGCATCGCTTATGCCGATATCGCGGTACCGGCTCTTCCAGTTACGAGCCAGGATGAGAGGGCCACAGGGAAGAAGTTTGTCGTGAGAACTCTGGGGACAATATTGAGGCGAAGTCCTGGATCCAGCCCTAGTGCAAGATATATGGTAGGTCGTTTGGCTCTTTCTAACCTTTCGCACACATCAGACTATTATGCTAAGTGGGAAACCTCCATAGAAACTTCTCACGGATGGTGCGACAGACGCCGAGCTCCCAGAAGAGTACTGTCAGTACCTTTGTCATATTCCCAAGTACGAGCCCCCACAGGATTTGCGGCGCAAGATTGGCGCAATGCTGTTCCTTGCGTTTTGGCATCCTGTCATGCTACTAGTGGAGAGGATGGCTTTGTTGAGCTTGGGACCAGACGGAAATGCTCCAGCAGGTGTCGGCCAGGTTGTTAGATTTGTGGTGTATGTTATGTGGGCGTGGCACGATTGTGTGCATGCGCCGATCTGGGGCAGAGGCGACGGAGTAAATTTAATGTCATGTGACGCGTGATGATCAAATTTGAAATCATCCCGTCGCATCATGCCAATTCGCCCTTGACCTAGATTAATAGCAAGGACATTCTGTACGTTCTTTACCTAACTTTGATTGGATAGCGTCATCGTCATCACGGTTTCTCATCTCCTTGAGGACGCGTATGAATCATGGAAAAAAACCTTTCTAGCCCTGATTCTCAAAAGCGGCGATGCCTATTGCTAATCTTCGCAATCCCTCCTGCAGCTTCTCTGGTTCAAGCGCGAAAGAAAGTCGATACCAACCAGGATCTCGCGCCGCGTAACTTTTCCCCGCACTGACAGCGACGCCATTATCGGCTATCATCTTTGTTAACTGAGCCTCTTGATCCCAAGATTGCACCTTCTCAGACAACTTTGCCCAGATATAGATGCCCGCATATGCGGGCACATATCGGACGTTGAGGCTGCGTAGAAATGATGCCATGGTTTCATATGCAATGGCGAGCCTGCTCCGGTTCAACTCAATAAACCTGTCCGTAGTTTCCGGGTCGGACAGTAGACTCGAGACAGCGACGGCCGTGAGACCAGATACCTGTGTGTTTGCGGCCATCGCTACACCGCAGGCCATCGCAGGACTGCCTTGGGTTACGAGCGCACCCTATGGCGACAGCTGTTAGAAGGACTCATTGTATAGATTGCGAGACTTTGTCTTACAAGTCGAAATCCACTGCATCCAAAATCCTTGCTGACACTCCAAATCACATGCGCCCTTGCCGGGCTGACTTCCATCGCTTCGAAGTCCAGGCTGAGGAGCGATACAAATGGCATTGGTCGTGGCATATCCTCCGATTCGTACGTTGACAAAGCATAGATCTCATCTGAAATGAGATGCAGGTCGTGCTTCTCACAGAACTTGCAGATCGCCTTCAGCGCACTCTTCGTGTAGCACTGGCCGAGAGGGTTGTGTGGATTACACAGAACAACTCCTTTAGGTTTGCATTCCGTGCTTGCAAGAGCTTTCTCTAGGTCGTGGATGACATTCTCGTTCAGCACGTTGTCATCGAGGGAAGTTACAGGAATGATCTTAACTTTAGGGCCGACATCGAACTGGAAGTGGAATCCGCCTGCGGTTCTGTCAGGCATGATACTTTCCCGCGATAACATTGGGCTTAGCTTACTCCAAAACGGGGCTAATACTAGCATCGTATCTCCGGGGTTGCAAATGTTGAGTAAGAGCGACTCAAGAATGGCTGCCCCGCCTGGTCCGACAACCACATGGGCAGTTTCTACAGGAACATGAGGCGAGAAGAGCCGGTTGAAAGTCTCTGCCAGCTTTGCGATGACGCGTGGATCGCCAGAGAATCCCTTCTGGTACGACAAGTCCTTGGCTAGTTGTAAGAATCATCATGACTCATGCAGAAGCAGAGATGGGCGTCACACGCACCTGTTCGACTAAGTCCTTCGCGATGCTGTCCCTGAAGAATACAACCAGTTCTTTTCGTATCAACCAATTCTCTGCTGTGCCGAAATCTATTGGTGGGTTGCTAGAGCTTCGCTGAGTGACTTGAGTCAGGATTTTCGGCATGACACTCTCTACGGTGCCCTGCATCCTTTTAGAAAGCGCCATGATGATGGCCAAGTAAGACAGAAGATGATGAAAATGCTTAGAATGGCGTTATTCGATGCTGGATTAAAGTATTCAAGACAGCACTTTAGCTGTATAAAAGATGGAATGCTGCGTCAAAGGGTGACTGTGTCCCACATTTTGAGTCGAATGTTCAAAGTACGAATCCCAACTCCATTCTGTCGGTAACCGACGAAAGATCCGCACCGCGGATTTTATCTGATCCAGCTGTTTGTCTTGTCAAATGAACAATGCGAAACATCTCATGGTAAATAAAACACGTGCAGTACCTGCGCAGAAGCAATACCTTTGGTTCACCTCCACTGCACTTCCCCACCATGACTCGCGAGTGTGGCCCCTCCGTCCTAGACCTATTTCGAACTGTTCGCGATAATTATCCTGAGAACATAGCTGTTCAGGATGGTTCAAAAACGATTACCTACCGCGCCCTGGATGTACGATCGTCGATCTTGGCTCAAAGGCTGCAGGAAAGTGGAGCGCGCCACTCGCAGGTGATTCCAATACTCACAAACTCTTGTCTGCACATGGTCGTCGGTATCCTAGCTATTCTCAAGATTGGTGCGATCTACACACCAATAGATCGCGATCAATGGCCGAGAGAAAGAATAGAGGATGTTTTGCAAAGAACAGATGCCTCAATTATCGTCTACACGGGAGGGAATATGGATATTCCAGGCATGGTGATGATCAATGCTGAAGATGTCGACGTCGATTACGCTCCCGAAGGTGCAGGCATGGTTCCACTTCCAGAGCTAGCGGCTATCATTTTCACATCTGGAACGACTGGAAAACCCAAGGGTGTTGAGATCCAGCATTCGTCATTGGCCAACTTCGTTTCAGCGGCTCATTTCAACTACGACGTTACTCCGGACGACCGAGTATTGCTAGTACTCTCCGTTGCTTTTGATGGTATGCACCATGTAATCGTATCTGTACGCGAACCAGACTGACTGTGATTTAGCTTGCATGGGGACTTTGTTTAACACTATTTGTAACGGTGGAACTGTGATCCTAGCGACCCAGTCTACGTTACAGGATCAAAGTCGCCACTGTAGTGTGCTTGTCTTGACGCCGTCACTACTTGAGGTCCTAGAACCACCGCAATCGTTGCATGACTATCCTAGGCTCGACAGGGTGGTCTTGGGTGGAGAGACAGCCTCGAAGAAACTACTGACCTCTTGGAGTATCTTAAAACGGCCAATCTGGATTGCATATGGCCCCACAGAAGCAACATGCGCAACCCTGACGACGATTTTGCAGACGTGTCCTCAGACCGGAAGTTTGAAGCCATCAATTCTGGGGACCCCTATCCACGGTGCTAGAGTCATGATTGTGGACAGTTTGGGAAGCGAGATCGAAGCTGCTGGGATGGAGGGAGAGCTGCTGATTTCCGGGATTGGATTGGCTAGAGGTTACTGGCGCGACAAGCAGCGAACGGACGAAAAGTTCTTCTTGCATAAATGCGAACGCACATACAGAACGGGTGACCGTGCGAGATGGTTCGTCAATGCGTTCGGAGAAAGAGCCGTCGAATTCTGTGGTAGGCGCGATCGAACCGTCAAGATCCGAGGATTCCTAGTAAACCTTGAGCTCGATGTCGATGCAGCATTACTGGCCATGGAACCCGAAATCACAGCGGTGCATTCAATCCAGGTGAATGGGAAACTGTACACTGCCCTGACGCCAGTACATTCCGATATCACGGAGCTAAAGTCCCGATGGAGAGCACGGGTTCCACCGTACCTTGTACCAGACCACATGGTAGGACTTGAGTCGTTCCCAATGACAGCGAACGGCAAGGTTGATCCTCGCAAGTTGGCCGAAGTCGTGGTAGCCATGATACTAGATGCCCAAGAGGATGTGGAAGATGACGGAAGCTTGGAGTCTGTCATTATTGGTGGAATGGCGAGTATACTCAACATACCTGCATCAACGATCGACCGCGACCAATCTTTTGTCAGCCAAGGACTTCATTCTCTTGCAGCGATCATGCTCTGCTCGCACTGTCGGAAGCAAGGATTTGCCATCCCTATGGAAGATATACTCGGTTCACCTTCAATCAATAGCCTACTTCAGGCCTACGATGGTACAGCTCGTATGTCGATAGACGTGGCACCTGCATCTGTACACATGCCGGTGGCACCTCTCACGGCATTACAGAAGATGCTCATCTATGACAGCATGAACCAGAAGACGGCCAATGTAGTGCAACACATTGCTACGTACAACAGTGCAGATGTGCAGCATCTGCAACGGGCGTGGCATACCGTTATCTCATCTGAACCTATATTTCGGACAGAGCTGGACATCAACACCCAGACACAGCGCATCAACAACAAACCAACGGTTCGCTGGACGGAACTTGTTGTTGAGTCAATGTTTGAGGTTGAAGAAAGGACCAAAGAAGCTGCTGCGGCTACTGGATTGGGAGCCTCGTTTACGATCCTGCACTACCGGGGTGCGCTGCTGCCCTGCGATCAAAGTGTTGTCATATTTTCCATCCACCACGCTCTCGTGGATGGCTTCTCTGCTTCGCTTATTCTCAACAAGGTCGCTGCTGCAACCAGAGGCATCCCGTGTGACCCGTCACCGCCTTTCACTATTGCAGTAGGCCAGATGCGACAGAACGCAGCTCGCACGTCGGTTGAAGCGAGCGCATTTTGGAGACAGCAGGATCAGGACCTTAGCGACGCCATTGGCGATATGCTGCTTCCGAAACCACCGGCGGGTGTGCTCGACACAACTGTGCAATACTCCATACAGACAGAGCTGGGCAGTGCTTCTCTGGCGAAGCTAAGCTGTGCCGGAAGGTCAACGGCCGCGACATTCCATTACGCAGCATGGGCACTGGTACTATCGAGTTACACCAATGCCCCAACAGTGCTCTTCGGGGCCGTTCTTTCTGCCCGGACATTGGGATTCCAGGGGGCAGAAAGTATCATCGGTCCCCTTATTGCGACACAGCCACTACGTATGGCTATTGACAGGCACGCGTCGACCGATGCGTTTCTGCAGCAGACATACGACGCGGTGCGATCTCTCTCTAAGTTCCAGGCATCCGAGCGCAAAGGGGAGCCGTTGCGTTTCTCGTCGGCTCTTGCGATACAGTATGACTCGCCCACGCTTGAGCCAGCAGGAATCGAGCCAGTTCAGCCGCCCTTCGTTGTCGAGTCTCCAGCACTGCCGCTAAACGTCCTTGTCGAGGGAGATGGGCGGGTACGATTCGTGTATCGACGCAACAGCTTCAGCGACGAGCACGTGCGGCAGATGGCAACTCTGTATCGTAACGTCTTGCATGCCTTGACGCATCCAGGGCTCACTGTTGAGGGATGCTTGAGGAAGCGACTCGATGCAGAGACGTCGCGCATGCTGCTGGCTCGCGGTAACGGGCCTTCCAGCCTTTCGCGCGTCCGCGCAACAGGGCCGACAGTGACGAGCTGCATTGAGAATGCTGCGCAAGCCAACGCTGCACGCGTCGCCGTAGAGAAGGGAACCGTCCAGTTGACGTATGCAGAGCTCATGACGCATGCGGGACGCGTAGCAGCTGCCGCTGAGAAGGTCGTCAAACCGGGTGATGTCGTGTGCGTTGTAGCAGACCGCTCGATTAACTGGATAGTGGGCGTATGCGCAGCCCTCAAGGCTGGTGCAGTCTACTGCCCTCTCGACGATGCGCACACACCCGAATATCGCGGCGAGCTGCTAAGAAGCAGTGGCGCGACATTATTGTTGTGTACTGAGAAGTCTCAATTGGTCGATGCGCCAACAATGAATGGCGTACCCATACTCGCCATCGATGCACTCTTGGCAGATGACAGATCACGTGATCCTCACGTCCTGACCAGATTACCCAGTGTCAGCGATGTCGCATTTCTCTGTTTCACATCGGGGTCTACTAGCAAGCCCAAAGGCGTTGCATGTGTCCACGGTGCCGTTACCGCGTTTCATGCCGACCCTGACGTGCGCCTCAACAGCGCACCGGGAGTTCGAATTGCTCAGTTTCTTTCTCCAGGATTCGATGGATGTGTGCACGAAGTTTTTGCGTCTCTTTGCTATGGGGCTACGCTGGTACTCCGAACAGAACGAGATGACCCTTTCGGCCATCTGGGACATGTCGACGTCGCAATGATGACGCCATCTGTCGCTGCAGGTTTGAACCCGGCTGAGTTTCCGAACCTCAAATTTGTACGTCACCCGAACGCCCCCGACCAAGTATTTGCCTAACTCTTCCTTAGGTCTACTTTGCAGGAGAGCCTGTGCAGCAACCAACGTTGAATAAATGGGCAGTGAACAGGACATTGTACAATCTCTATGGCCCGACAGAGGGCACGATAGGATCATGTCAGCAAAAGCTCCAGGCACATGTGCCTGTCAACGTCGGACCTCCAGTACCATCCATGCGCCTATACATTCTCGACGATGCAATGCAGCTTTCGCCCCCAGGTGTTGTTGGCAACATCTTCATTGCGGGGGTGCAAGTCAGCCGAGGATACATCAACCACGACCTGGCTGAGCAAAACGCACGCGAGTTCCTACCTGATCCCTTCTGTCCTTCCCCCAG